ACACCAGTTTGGATGAGGGTTTCCAGATTGGGTGTCCTATCCACGGGCCTCAGCAGCCCTGCCATGGATCCGTTTGATTTTTTCACATCAAGAAGTTGATCTTGCAAGCCATTTCCATCTTGTAGGTCCACTGGCAGGTTTTGTAGCTTTCCCTCTGTCGCCGGCGGTACAGCTTCTCATAGTACCACCTACCCTTAATGTCCTCAATGAGGCCATCCAGGGTCAGGATTCTGTTTGGAATCCTGCACCTTTCACATTCCCTTCCTGGACCATCACAGTCCTGGCAATGAACTTCAGATGTTTTGCCATGACCTTGAATTTACATCTCTACTCTGCAGTTCTGTGCCTCAGGGCCCTGCCATCCTGAGCCGAATATTTTTTGTTGTTGTTGAAAGTCTTTCATAATTGAGTTTATTGGTTGTGTTGATGATCAGTCCACAGACATTTCAATTTGTACACAGTTAACATGCATTATAGGATATAAAAAGTAACCCCCATCTATGGAATGTTAAGTTGACACCTAAAACAGTCTCCCATAATTCAATATCCCACACTATTTTCTGGTTGTACCAAAAAACAAAAACAAAAACAAAAACAAAACCCACCACCAAATGATTTCACCTCTTAAAAAAAAGCATTTACACTTAAAAGATAGGATAAGGTGGGATTACTTCCTTCTTAAAAATGTTTCTAAAGCTACTAAATAATTTGCATTTACAAAATAGTTGATAAAAATATTCTTCTGGATTGTACAAGAAGGGAGACAGGGACCACTGATGACATGGGATATGATATTCAGACTTGGCTTCTTTCTCTCCTGCTTCACCAGAGGCTGGATTCTCCTTGGTTTTAGTTTCTCCGTTTTCTGCATGTAACTCTTCTTTCGCCTCTTGGTTAGCCACTTCAGCCTGCTTTCCCCTCACTCACCTTTTCTCTTTTGCTTGCACATTTTTGTCTGAAGATTTATCCTTTCTCGCCATCTTTTTTGGCTTCCTTCTACTTTTGCAGGAGTAGGTTTAGCCTACAACCACGCTGATCTCTTCGGTTCTTTCTTTGCGGCCCCCTCGGTGGAGATGATCTTTCTCTTAGCGTCTTGGCGGCGGGCAGGGCATGAGCCCAGTGCCTGCGGGACCGCAGTGCGCCCAGAGCCTTTGCGAAGCTGGGCTGCCGCTCCTCCTGCGGCTGGAGCTGAGATTCCGAGGAAATAGTTTTAAAAGTCATCGGGCGGGCCAGGCACAGTGGCTCATGCCTGTAATCTGAGCACTTTGGAAGGCCGAGGTGGAAGGACTGCCTGAGCCCAGGAGTTGGAGATCAGCCTGGGCAACATAGCAAGACCTTATTTCTATTTAAAAAATCAAAAAATTAGCTGGGAGTGTTGGTACATGCCTGTGGTTCCAGCTACACCGGAGGCTAGGGCTTGTCCGAGCCCAGGAGTTCGTCAAGGCTGCAGTGAGCCATGACTGCACTCCAACCTGAAAATAGACTAAGACCCTGACTTATAAAAAAAAAAAAAAAAAAAGCCACCGAGCAGAATATCCCCTCATCCTTAGAGGACCCATTTCCTAATTTCCTAGTTCCCTCAACTGCTTTGGATGCCTCTTCTCCCTTAAAAAATACAATGTTTTAATCAATGATTGCTTATCTGTAGCATATAAATTCAGAGCCAGGAATGATGGTGAAACCAAACAACTAGACCGCCACATGGATGCCTGAGATAGTGACACCTTTGCTTTCTGATGTTTCAATGCATACAAACTTTGTTTCACGCACAAAATTATTTTAAAAGTTGTATAAAATTAACTTCAGGCTATATGTATAAGGTGTATATGAAATATAAATGAAATTTCATGATTAGAGTTGAGTGCTATCCTCAAGATATCTCATTATGCATATGTAAACATTTCAAAATCTGAAAAAAATTTAGAAATTTGAGACACTTCTGGTTTAAAGCACTCTGAATAAGGGATACCCAACTTGTATAGTTAAGCTGGAAAACAGATGACCTCCATGCAGGAAAAGGACAGTTCTCTTGAAAATATACTACTTTCAGGAAGTTATCCCTTAAAGTGAAAACAACATGCAAATGCTTCAGCCACTATTCCTAGAAGTGTGTGTGAAGAACTTTATAGAGTTCTGGAAGTGGTGTAACAATATTTATTTGCTATACTTAGTTGTATGATACTACTTTGGCCTCTGACTCTATCCATTTCTCCCTCTCTTTCCTGCACCAGGAATATTTTTCTTCTTTGCTTGTTGAAATCCTACATACATGTCAAGGCTCAGTTCAAATATCTTTCAAAGAAGTATTTCCTAATTATACTAATCAGGAGTGAATTTGTTCCTCTTAATTCCAAAACACTCTTTTTTACAGTAATTAACAACTTTTAGGGAAGTGAGATCAGCATAAGAGAGAGCCTGACTTTGTAAGATTCAAGCTTTTCTTTTAGATGTGTGCCAAGGGTAAAGGCAGGGTTCTTTTTTTTTTGAGTTGGAGTCTCACTCTGTCACCCAGACTGGAGTGCAATGGCCGCTCCCAGCCACCGCAGCCTCGACCTGCTGGGCTCCAGCGATGCTTCCACCTCAGCCTTCCAAGTAGCCAGAATTACAGGCATGTGCTACCACGCCCGGCTGATTTTTTGATTTATTGTAGAGATGAGGTCTCGCTGCCCAGGCGGGTCTCAAACCCACGGGCTCAGGCAATCCACTCACCTCAGCCTCCCAAAGGCGCGGGATTACAGGCTGAGCCACCGAGCCCGGCTTTTGTTTTTTTTGAGTTGGAGTCTCACTCTGTTGCTCAGACTGGAGTGCAGTGGCTGCTTCCGGTCACTGCAGCCTCGACCTGTTGGGCTCCAGCGATCCTTCCGCCTCAGCCTTCTAAGTTGCTGGAACTACAGGCACACACTACCACGCCCAGTTAATTTTTTTGATTTATTGTAGAGATGAGGTCTCACCAAGTTGCCCAGGCTGGTCTTGAATCCCTGGGCTCAGGCAATCCGCTCACCTCGGCCACCCAAAGGCACGGTGGTGCCTGGCCAAAGGGTGCTAATTTTATCCATCACTTTTATCATATTCATGGTTTCATTTGGGAGGATCACTCACAAATATTACCCTATGATATATATGTGCATTATTACCAAAAGTCAGAAAAATTACATGGGTAAAAAAACAAAAACAAAATAGTCATCAAACTCATGATAAACAATATAGGAAAGACTTTTCCTCTTAATATTTTTTTGGAGGAATGAGGGAAAAGCAAGAACAGAAAAATTCAATCTTCCTATATCAACTGCCTTTCTTAAAACTCACTACCTTAGAAGAAAGACACTGAAGATATATAGAATATTGTACCTAACTGAATTCTACCTGTTTCTAGACAAAAAAGGGGAAAATAAAAGTTCTGAGAACTAAAGGTGCCCAAAACTTGGCTTCATTGGTTAGTCTCTTGAGATTTAGTATGCTTAGCAAATAAATACAACAGAAAAAGCATACACAACTCAAGTTATTTTAATCTGAACCACTTTATTTATTTATTTATTTATTTTTTGAGTTGGAGTCTTACTCTGTCGCCCAGACTGGAGTGCAATGGCCGCTCCCGGCCACCGCAGCCTCGACCCACCGGGCTCCAGCGATTCTTCCGCCTCAGCCTTTCAAGTAGCCGGAATTACAGGCATGCGCTACCACGCCTGGCTGATTTTTTGATTTACTGCAGAGATGAAGTCTCGCTGCCCAGGCGGGTCTCGAGTCCGCGGGCTCAGGCAATCCACTCACCTCAGCCTCCCAAAGCGCGGGATTACAGGCTGAGCCACCGAGCCCGGCTATCTGACCCACTTTATAAAACCACCTACGATGCAACCACTCCCAGGATGACGATCTAAAAGGAGGAATAGGAGTTTCCTGCTACCTACCAAGTCATTCACTGCATCACTCGCTCCTGAGATGGAAGACTCATATAAGGCAATAGGATACACAATTTAGCTCATCGCACAGCATGATGTAATAAAATCTTTTGATACACAAATATTGCTTTGGCTGACAGTTTATTAAATACACTACATTTGTACCGTATACTGTAGTTTTTTAAATCATTCACACATAGACTTAGTAAAAACGTACTTTATAGAAAACCATCTGCAAAACTAAAATGAAAATAAGAAAGCACATATTACACACATATTAGATAAACTGGTGAAATATTAAAAATTATTTAAATTTAATCTGTACAGGTGCTTAATGAAGGCGATCATGAAATATTAGGTGGTTTGATTTTCTTAAATCTGGCACCAGACCAAGACTTCAAAAGGGTTAATGTTGAAATGTGAATGCAAAAATATCTATTAACAAAACTGTTTGATCTAATAGTGTTTGAGAAACAGGACAAAGTATTGTTTTTCTTTTACGGATACTTTTCGAAGTCCATTCTCTTTTATTTTATTTTTTGAGTTGGAGTCTCACTGTTGCCCAGACTGGAGTGCAGTGGCCGCTCCTGGCCACCGCAGCCTTGACCTGCTGGGCTCCGGCGATCCTTCCGCCTCAGCCTTCCAAGGAGTTTGAACTACAGGCGCGCGCTACCTTGCCCGGCTGATTTTTTGATTTATTGTAGAGATGAGGTCTCACTGCCCAGGCGGGTCTCGAACCCATGGGCTCAGGCAATCCACTCACCTCAGCCTCCCAAAGGCATGGGATTACAGGCTGAGCCACCGAGCCCAGCTGTCCATTCTCTACATACCTTCTCTCCTATTCAGAATTTTCCTGTATAGAATGCTGAGGAAAAAAATCAATTCCTTTAAAAAAGAAAAACGAACAAACTAGAGCCTATTTACAAAACATGCACAGGGAGAATTTTAAGCAAGTATTACCACAGAACTGGTTAAAAGTGAATACAGCTGAATGACAGAATACACCTTTACTTCTACAAATATAGCCCCCCCCCACTTTTTGGAAGAAATACATATTCAAGGTATGAACTATAAAACGGCATACAACGCAGAGACAGAAACAAAGAAGTTTGCAAATCTTTTATATTTCCAGATGTTGGTACAATATTTTTGAGAGCTGATACTACCTCTAGCGGCGAAACCAGAGCCAGCTATTAAGCAGCCAGAATGCAACAGTAATTGAATACATGACCATTTCTCTTTTAGCACGTTCTTTGTTCTCCTCTTCCAGAAGTTGTAGACGTCTATTTAGTTTGATTATCTAAGTGAAAAACAAACAAAAAAATACAATGTAGGAGGTTTAATGCATAGAGCAATCAGATCTCATTATGTTGTATAATAATGTGTTAAAAGAATTATTACAAAAATAGCTTCATTTGGAGCAAAATAAACAAGCACAACTACATATAAAAAATGTTATTCATGACAGTCTAAGTCATTTAAATAGCCTTCTCCTTCCCTTTCTTCAAATTTCTGAATTAGAAAGGGTGTGTTTCCTTCCTTCCTTGATTAAATTGTGAGGTGAGGAAATAGTTTAACATATTACTATTCTGGTAGAAGCGACTTAAGCACACATTTCAGTAGGCTTACCAGAGCAGAAAGAAATGGGATTCCTGCTCTTTTCTATGCCTCTTCCATGAGCTTTTTGTCACTCAGCCTCTGTTGTTGATCTTTAACCTGGTGTAACTGTCTTCTCTGCCCATTTCTCTGAGTTACTGAGAGGGTCCCATAAAATAACCTACTGTAGTGAGTCTTGTGATAGGTCACCTAAATGTTTCAAGTTTGAAAGGCTAATTCTTTAGCTGCTGAAAATGTTGCTAATTGACAATACTATCCTTGGCTGCTGGATCTCAACGTGAATAGCCCTGGGCTGAACAACTGCCTGCTTAAGCTCATGCTGTCTTATGATCCTTACTTAAAGATACTTTATTTTATCTGATTTCTCTCATTATCTATTTGTCACAGACCAGGAACCCCCAAAAAACCAGCATTATTTTTTGGAGCATGGGTCCCTTGTAGTACAGGCTTCCTCCGCTAGGCAAGTGTTCTATCAATAGGAACCCACCAGTATCAGTGTATCAGCTAGTGTTGTTGTGAGGGACAGCGTCCGGCTTCAGTGAATTTTTTTGATGGGGAGATTCTTTCAACATGTTTGCCTATTTCATGATGGGTGATTACCTATCCACAATGCACTGAGTGTTCAGCAATTTTTGACCAAAAATGGTATGACCTCCACGCCCCACCCTCCCATTTACCTGATGTGGCCTGGAACGCCTTTTTTTCCTTTCTCCAGATGAAAAATGCCCTCAAAGGAAAACGTTTTGCCAATATGGAAGAAGTGGTACCCCCCCAAAATGGCAGAAGCACCAAAAGGCATCAAAATTGACAATTCAAAAACTGTTCTGAGCAGTGGAAAAAGTGTCTCAATAGGTGGATTGCATCAAATGGAAAGTTCTTTTTTCTCCCTCTTTTTTTTCAGTCAGAGTCTCACTCTGTTGCCCAGGCTGGAGGGCAGTGTCATGCTCATGGCCACGCCATTGTTGACCTCCTGGGCTCTGGCGATCCTTCTGTCTCAACCAAGTAGCTGGAACAACAGGTGCATGCTACCACACCCAGCTAATTTTTATTTATTTATTTATTGTAGCGATGAGGTCTCACCAAGTTGCCTGGGCTGGTCTCAAACCCATGGGCTTAGGCAATTCACTCGCCTCGGCCTCCCAAAGTGCTGGGATTACAGGCTAAGGCACTGAGCCCGGCCCGAGAGTACTTTGAAGGTGGCTGATGTTTAAACATGTAAGAATAAATACACAATTTTTAATATATAAATTCTGGGTTTTTTTTGGTTGTCCCTTGTATACTTTCCCCACATGTGTGTATGTGTGATTTTCAGGGCTGTGGAAGTAAATATTAATATGCATATGTAATAGCAGTTCCAAGATAGGCCTTATTTATTTATTTATTTATTTATTTATTTATTTATTTATTTATTTATAAGTTGGAGTCTCATTCTGTGGCCCAGGCTGGAGTGCAGTGGCATGCTCAAGACCACCCCAGCATCGACCTGCTGGGCTCTGGTGATCCTTCTGCCTCAGCCTTCCAAGTAGCTGGAACTACAGGCAAGTACTACCACACCTGGCTAATTTTTGATTTTTTAAAATTTTTTTGAGTTGGAGTCTTACTCTGTCGCCCAGACTAGAGTGCAGTGGCTGCTCCCGGCCACTGCAGCCTCAACCTGCTGGGCTCCGGCGATCCTTCCACCTCAGCCTTCCAAGTAGCTGGAACTACAGGCGCGCACTACCACGCCTGGCTAATTCTTTTGATTTATTGTAGAGGTGAGGTCTTGCCAAGTTGCCAAGGCGGGTCTCGAAGCCGCAGACTCAGGCAATCCACTCACCTCAGCCTCCCAAAGGTGCAGGATTACAAGCTGAGCCACCGAGCCCGGTTTAATTTTTGATTTTTGATAGTGGGGACGAGGTCTTGCCAAGATGCCCGGGCTGGTCTCTAACCCATGGGCTCAGGCAATCCACTTTTCTCGGCCTCCCAAAGTACTGGGATTATAGGCTGAGCCACTGAGCCCGGCCCAAGATACGACTTATTACAGAATAAAAGAAATATGTATACAGAGACACTATGCAAACTGAAAGCAGTGGTTTCCAAAATGGAGCTATCAAACACAGCAACAAAGGTCCCCAAAGTAATCATTCGACATTTCAAGAGTCAAACAAGCAACTTATGGATGTACAGGTTTGCTAAAACGTCAAGATTCTTTGTTCTCAGCCAGAATTACATCAATTCATTTTGGTTATACTGTTTTATGTTGATCATAACACGTAATTGTTGTTTTAATATATCTTTAACCAAAATGAGAAAAATCAATTATGGCTTACTAAATAGTTTGACAGATAAAATATTTCAATTCATAGGATCCATAGCAGAGAAAATGATAAAATGTTGGCAACTATCACTTTAAAAGCTCAAATGAATATATTTAGGATTATATCTTATTCAATACATTAAATACCTGTCGTCTTAATGAAGCCGCATCTACAACAGTCATGTCATCTGATGTTCCTTCAATTGTTGCCTCTATATTTGAAATGCCATACCTAGTAGACAAGAAATAAAAATATAAGAGAATATTAAAATAGAACTAAGAGAACTGGCAAGTCATGTAATGTTTTGTGTGATGCTCAAAGAAGTATTCAGAAGACCAGCATCTAACAATATACATTACTAAAATATTTTGCCACTTGAATTGGTACTAATAAGGGAAAGAAAAAAGCTTAAGATGACAACTATCTACAATACTGCAAAAGTATATCAAAACTTGGAGAATGAGACCAGGCATGGTGGCTCATGCCTGTAATCCCAGCACTTTGGGAGACAAGGGAATCACTTGAGCCCAAGAGTGCAAGACCAGCTTGGGTAAAACAGTGAGACCCTGTCTCGACAAAAACCTAAAAACTTAGCTGAGCATAGTGGTGCATGGCTGTTATCCCAGCAACTCAGAATGGAGGCTGGGAAAATCACTTGAGCCTAGGAATTTGAGGTTACAGTGAGCTATGATCATGCTACTACATACCACCCTTGGCGACAGAACAAGACCCTGTCTAAAAAAATAAAGAAAACAAAAACCAAAACATGGAGAATGAGAGAAAACCCTGACTAAATATACAAAAAGATAATTCTTAAGCTAATGGGACTAGCAATGCTACAAAAGACCGCTGGCTAAAAAGGTCTGAGAACTGACACTTCAGAATATAACAAAATATAATTTTTATACAAACTTATATCCATATGTAGTTCCATAGGCAAAAACTCACTGGCAGGGAACATAAAGTAGACTAGCTTTAACTAGAAATAAAAAGACTGATCATTGTTTATTTCGCCTTCTCTTCTCATTGCCCCTTGTCTTGCCATTTCTATTCTTTACTTATTTCATTACTTACTCTCTACCGTGGTATCCCACAGGAGTAATTACAAAATCTCCTGAATAAATATTGCCACTACATTTAGATCCAGAATTGGCTCAATAACAAACATGTGGCTGTGAGTAAAATAATAATACTAAAAAACCACTAAGACAGCCGGGCTCGGTGGCTCAGCCTGTAATCCTGTGCCTTCAGGAGGCTGAGGTGGTGGACTGCCTGAGCCCGCGGGTTCAAGACCCGCCTGGGCAGCGAGACCTCATCTCTACAATAAATCAAAAAATCAGCCGGGTGTGGTAGTGGGTGCCTGTAATTCCGGCTACTTGGAAGGCTGAGGCGGAAGGATCGCCGGAGCCCAGCAGGTCGAGGCTGTGGTGGCCGGGAGTGTCTGGGTGACAGAGTGAGACTCCAACTCAAAAAAAAAAAAAAACCACTAAGACAAAATCCAGAGAAAATACATGAAAAGGTACTTTTTTCCCCCAATGCAGTTACTTCTAAAGGGGTACTAATTTTTAAATGCATAAAACTAAACTTCTGAAAAAAACAAATATAAATGCCATTACTCTTCTCTGCCTGGATTTCCACATTTCAAAATTTATTTTAATTAACAGCAGTATTTACATATAATTTATGTACCCACAATTCACCTCACACGTGTATCTATTTTATATCCTTTATGGCTATTTCAAAAATGGCATAGTAACTTTTCTGAATGAGTAGCATAAAAATAACTTGAGTTAAAAGTTATCCACAGTTGGCACATGGATCACCTATTCTAATATCCTCAGCAAGTAGCTATTACAAAAAGCACATTACCACATAAAGGAACATGAAGTAGAATGATATTTTTTATCCAGATATGTTAAAGACAAGTTTCTATTTAAAAATATTTTTGTTTTAAATATTATTAAAAGTAATCCAAAAACACTTTAATAAAAATATGCAAAACAGAAATTAAGCAATAGATGGTGTGTATTGACTTTAGAGCATCTATAACAATCTCTAAATGTTCTTTTTATGGCTAAATTAGCTTGCTTTCTCATTAACTATCCCTTAATTCATAAGAAAACAGCAAATATCCTAGAATATTGAGGGTAACTGCATTAGTTAGAAAAACAAACTTTTAGTCGGGCTCGGTGGCTCAGTCTGTAATCCCACGCCTTTGGGAGGCTGAGGTGAGTGGATTGCCTGAGCCCGCGGGTTGGAGACCTGCCTGGGCAGCGAGACCTCATCTCTACAATAAATCAAAAAATCAGCCAGGCGTGGTAGCGCATGCCTGTAATTCTGGCTACTTGGAAGGCTGAGGCAAAAGGATCGCCGGAGCCCAGCGGGTCGAGGCTGTGGTGGCCGGGAGTGGCCACCGCACTCCAATCTGGGTGACAGAGTGAGACTCCAACTCAAAAAAAAAAGAAAAATAAACTTTTAAGTTAGTAGATGCTGCAACCATGAGTTTACGAACAAACAATTGGTGGAAAAAATAAGGGTTGAGGACTCCCCTTTTCTGCACTTCATCCTCAAAATAAAACACTTCTATTTCTCTGAAGTAATATAAGAAATGAATGGAAAAAATAAAATCAAACAATAGAAGCAATTGCTTCAAAAGTAAAGGGACCTGGACTGAACATAGAGAATGCAGTATAAATGAAAGGAACTACTCACAATTTAAATCTTGAATTAACTAAGATTTTAGATATCTGAAAACAAACTTCATTTGCAAAGAAATTTAAGAATATGGTAAAATATTTTACCTACATAATTCAATTTAAAACAAAAATATACTACTTTACAATGTTTTAAACTAAAACTTGTGTTTATCAGAAGTAAAAATTCTGTTAGAAATGCTAAGTCAGATCAATAGCTGAAAATACTTTCATAGAAAGATGGAAGGATCAAACACTTAAAAACAAGTCAGAAGAGTGGTAAGGGATCACTACAGGCATAGTTTTCAATTTCTCCAACATGAATTTAGTTATTAATGAGAAACTGATGTTTCCCTTTTTTTCTTGCTTCAATAAATGGGCCAGCTTCTTCTAATCATAGAAATAATGCTGCCAGTTTTAAATCTAGTGCTACAGATATATATTCTGCTTAAAGTACACACAACTGGCTCTGAAAAAATTACAGTAACAAGCATCTGTGAATACCAACCAGCTTTTGCTTTTGTCTTTCCAGAAGATGGGAAAATTAAATGGGGCTTTTAGCACTCGAGAGAACACTAAGTATTTATTTATACATATTGCCATTCTGTCTGTCCTTGTGCATAATAGAAAGAAATAATTGCTCAGTCTATGCATGTTTGAAAGTGTGAAAGTGCAAAGAGAGAAAGGTTTAAATCAACAGATGATAAAAACACTTAAGACCTAATTTCCTTTCTAAATGTTCAACTTCGTAAACTGTTGGGTTGTCAATGTTAACTTCCCTCAGTTTAAGGTGATGCTTTATAGGCAGGTCTATCCCCACACTGAAAGTGACATTATAGACAATTAACAACTAAAAAGGAAATGCTGGACAGAACCAAGTCAACAATTAAAATGATGCTCATAAAATGAGTTAAGATTATTTTTTCTGTGTTTTAGCATGTCTCCTATAGGCTATTAAATTGCATTAAATAGCTCAGATGTTCACATCATACCACATCATAAGTATGCAACATGTTTCCTCATTTTCTGTTGGTCACATGCCATGACTGATTGGACTTATTGCTCCTGGAAGCAGGATGTACTCAAGGACAGTTGTAGAAGTTCAAGCTGTAACTTAAAGGCATGGCTACTACATGCATTATGTCTTGCAAAACACAAATTCTGTCAACCATTTACTCTGGTAATTACAAAGTCTCAAAATTTACCTGACGTTGTCATGATGAGGATTAGAAGTGGCGGCAGCAGACCCACCACGCAACACAGGTCTAAGGCAGGTTTTTGCGGGAGAAGGCACAAGACAGAATCAGGAAACAGAGAAGTAATAAAATAAAAGCAAAAACAAGACAAATAAATGTCAAATAGGATTATATTGTATGTTTCCAATACAATATAATATCTCTCAAATACTCCAAAAATCTGTGTCTCGTATGTCCTCCATTTTATGATTTTCATAAATTCAACATCTTACCATTGATTAAAGAAACAAAGGTAATCTATATTTGTGTAACAAAACAGCACCAACATATAAAACAATTTTTTTTGGTGCTTACACTTTAATTTATGAAATTTAAGACAGAGGACAACTCTATTAAGAAAGAGTAATTCTTCTCTTCTAATTGGAAAAAAAAAATCACCAGCATCTTTGAAAGTATGTCAAGAATAACTGGCTAGTTGCACCTGCATGATCAGGGCTGCTCATCTGATATCAGCAGCTCTCCCTGAACAACTAAAAATTTTCAAGAAAATTTTCATTTCCCACAATTCCTTTCCTATCTCATTCATTCTGATTAGTGCCTGATGTCTCAATGTCGCTGTGTCTCTTTCAAACTCAGCTCCCAAAGCAAAAATACAAGCCTCAGTTCTGAAGCTGAGAAGATCAGGAATATGCTATATAGTACATTAAAAAGAATACAATAAAAAATGTGAGTCTGATCTTGAGACAACCAGGAGTGTCATACAGGGCTGCTGGAAATGAAAAATAAGGTGCACAGGAAAACTTTGTGGGGATTTTCACTCAGTTTCAGTACATACTTTGGTTCTAGAAGACAATTAGTTCTCTACCTAAATAAGTAGTTCCCTTTCCAATAAATTTTATCTTTTAACATCAGAAGACAAAAGCTCTACATGTTCACTGGTCAATTCCCCACAAAATAATCAGCAATATTTTCTACCTAGAGAAAGGGGATTGTGGTACTGGATCTATGTAAGAATTTTAAGAATTATTAAGTCCTATCTTGAGGGTCTCATTCTCTAAGACATAGATCTGGTTTATCTGAATTTAAGTATCAAGGCAATACTTTAGTAATTTAATACCAAATGCACTAATTTTTTCTGTAAGCTGGCAAAGCTGCAGAATTTTGACGACAAATCACTAATTTCTGACAACTCAAATTATCAAGAAAATTATAATGTTTAGCTTCTACATGTCCTAAAAGTTCTTAAAGAAATTTCTAGGGTCTAGTAGATAAGGGATTCACAGACCTTTTGCGGAGACATATGTGACTTTCATTTTGCTGGTTAAAGAACAGTGAGAAATCACATATGCTTGTGACAGGTTTTAAACTCATCCCCTGCTACTAACATATTTACTCTGTGGTATTAGGAAAACTGTTACTTAATTACAGCTTTAAGTTACACTAACATGAAGATGGTTAAAGTTTTAGGAAGCCACCACTGTGTGCTTCCTAAAACTTAAAAAAACCCGTATATTATGTTCAAATAGATCTGCTGTATTCAACATATTCTACCACAGAGATTTCCCTTTGATAATGCAGAGCCAGAAAATAATACAGTTACCTTTCACAACGTATTTCATTTTGTCTTCTCACACTGGCAATTGACACATATAATATAAAAGTAAATTAGACAGGTATTTGGCAAAGTTAGAAACTTCATTCAAGTACCACTTTCTACTGTAAGTATGATTTAATACATAAAATCTTTTCAACAGTGTGTTTTGTAGAGTGAGAAAAGAGAAGGAAATTTAAGGCTACCAAATTCCAGCATTAACCTGTACACTGACATTTTTGAGTAAATATGCTCTGACTTAATAGTCTATGTGGTTCTTTGCTATAAAAATGTATACTGCTACAGTAAATAAACAGTTTGATTAGGGGATCAGGAATTATACTTTTCTTTAAAGAAAAATTACAAATAACAAACATTATATCAACTACTGCATTTCTGGGTCTTCCAAATTGTATATTAATAGGGATACTTGCCAAAAATATAATTTATTCACACATTGGTTTCTCATTCTATTCACTCAAAGCTAGTTCAACAGGCTAAGGAAAAACTATAAAAATAATCAAGCCCCTCTTAAAAATAAAACTTAACCATGTCTCATCTACCAATATTTACACAATGTTCTTACACAGGTACTAAGTTTCTTTAAATGTTACCATTTTATGATGGAGAATGAGATGCATAGCTTTAACAGATGTAGAGATGGGCATTTCCTAATCAGTAAAAAACCAAACTCTAATAGCATTTTACATCCTGGTGCACTGAGTAAAGGAAACATCTGGTGCTTATCCCAGGTGGTTTGGTAAATTTAACATACCAGTTTTCCAAATGTATAGCACTGACCTGTGTAAATAAACTTTTCTAATATGTACCTACAATTTAACTTGGTTTTCATGTTGAGTTTGGTTAAGATTATCTACATAAGACAAGAAAAAAATATATAGCATGAAACCTTTGAAGTGTAAATGAAAAATAGCTCTTATGTCAAGCAACTGTGACTCTGTAATTTACTTCACAATGATAAATCAAGCAGAAAGCTTTTTCCTGTCTTTCTACCAAATACTTCTAGCTTATATTAACTATACCTAATGTGATAGCATAAGACCAAAGATAAGATATTGCATTAGCTTAACAGTCAAAAATAATAAAATAAAAAGGAAAAACTGATGTGCAGAGCAAGGAACATAAAGCATTTAACATTTTATGAGCAGTATTATTTTATAATCATGCAAGTAGAACATTATCCAAATTTCACATTCCTATTTCTCATATCTGAAAAAGTCAAGCCAGACACTTCTCATTTAGAAATAAAAATTGATTTGGCACTTAAAATTCTGATCAAATTTTGTTCAACATTTAGATACGAAGAGATCTGAATAAAACTTAAGAGATCACCTTTCAATAAAGGAAGCATCAATAAGACTGATGAGAATCTAACCCTCCAAGTTCCAAGGTAAAAACTATTGGTGTGGATCTAAAAGCAAAGCATTATTACTATAACTCCTTCATGAATTTAAAAAAATCGTATTTAAGGGAGGAACAAAAGATGATTCACAGAAAAGGAATCTTAAAGTTATCAATTCATTACAATATGAAAAGTTACAATAAAATTTCAAGTAGAGTCCAAAAATGTTTTCATAATAAAAAAAATCACAAAGTCTACATTAGTAAGATTTCTAATTTTGTAAATTTGACCTTGATTTTTTTTTCCATTATGGGAAAAAAAATCCTATTTTTACAACTTCTACATTACTGCACTGACCTGTGTATATGTTGGTGAGGATGAAACAAATAACTTTAACGACTGTGACTTTATCAACTACTTATTCATTTATACAGAATTTAGAAATATCTTTCTCATATAATCTTGCTGTAATCGCATTTTATATGATATACTCCATATGCTCCGACTTAATAATCTGGTCTCTTCCAAGGACCTAATGTAATTAAAAAGTTAAAGATCCTAGACTGGGCATGGTGGCTCATGCATATAATCCCAGCACTTTGGGAGGCCAAGGTGAGAGGATTGCCTGAGCCCATGGGTTGGAGGACAGCCTGAGCAACTTGGTGAGCTCTCATCTCTACAATAAATCAAAAATTAGCTGGGCATGGTGGCACATGCCTGTAGTTCCAGCTACTTGGAAGGCTGAGGAAGAAGGATCACCTGAGCCCAGCACATCAAGGCTGCAGTGGCCATGAGCGTGCCACTGCACTCCAGCCTGGGCGACAAGAGTGAGACTTTGACTCAAAAGAAAAAAAAAAAAAAAATCCAGCTTGGGTACCATAGCAAGATCTTGTCTCTGCCAAAAAAAAAAAGAAAAAGAAATTAGCTTGGCATGATGATGCATACCTCCGGAGGCTGAGGTGGGAGGATTGCCTGAGTCCAGGAGGTTGAGGTTGCAGTGAGCTGTGACTGCACTACTGTACTCCAGTCTGGCAACAGAGTAAGATCTTGATAAAATAAAAGAAAAGAAGGGAAGAGAAAAGAAAAGAAAAGAAAGGAAAAAGTAAAGAGGATACCTGTAGGAGAAAAAATATTTTTAGAAGGGAGGGGGAAAAAAGGCCTTTGTAAATACTAGTCCTTAAATGCCAGGTACTTTATATTAAATATCTTTCTAAAGAACTCCTAATTAAGATAAATAAAGAATTTGAGGCCATTATTCTCATATTCTAAATAAAGGTGGGGGAGGAGAGAAGATTCCTCACAAGAATCCAGAAAGGTAGGTATTATTATCCTCCTTCCCCCATTTTAATAGAAGAGGAAAATGAGGGCCAAGGAAGCTAAGCAATTTGTTCAAGGCTGTCATGCAGCTATTTAGTAGGGGTGGATCAAGGTTGAATCTGACTAACCCCCTGATCCATGCTTTTTCTTCTGAGCTTTGCTGCTTCTTACAGTTTCCAAGAATTCCAAGACAGTCTTTGCAACTTCAAAAAGCATAAAAGGGACTCTAAACGCTTGGGGAAAAATGAACAAAAAATACGCATAAATGTATATATAATTCCTCCCACCCCATGCCATAAGCTTTCTCTTTAAGCTCTTTTTAGCACCACTTTAAGACCTTGGGCCCAAATGCATATCATTGGGAAGACTTAGAAAGGCCAAGGATTCAACAATGGTAAACAGAATAAACGAGTGCTCATAAAGCATGGTGAGATACCCGGGGTCTGTGTGAGCATTAAAAGCATTCAACAAGAAAAAGTTTGTTCAGAGCAAGCCAGAAGACACGTTAGTACCTACAGTAAGAAGATTTATTGGAAGGGCCAGCTTAATTTTTTGGGAATTTTCAAAATGTAAAAATAAGCAATTTAATTAAATGATAATGAAAATTCAAACACAAATTCTCAAAGACCACTAGATAATTGTTTAGAGTTGAAATGAAACTGACTGTTTCTTTCCCACACGATGCCAAAAAAGTTCCCTGAATTTCCTTTTTAAAACACCATGTAGTAACAAAGCAAAGAAAAAAGTACTTGAAATAATTGCAAAAAAAAATTGTATGAAGAAGTCTAAGTATACTATTAACAATTTTACCTGGCGATGTTTAAAAATGAGATATCAGCTACTGAAAAATGTCAATATTATCAAAAAGATAACAGCACCTAGTTAGCTAGAAGTCCATACCTAAAGAGGAAAAGAAAAATAAGTATATCCTGGTAGCTACACTGACGTCACCTTCTCAGATTTGCTTTATTAATCCAATCATAGCTGCACCATACATGATTAAATCAAAATAATTACTAAAGAAAACTAGTATGCTTCAGCCCAACAGCCCACACTCAATCCAGCAGCATCCCTTAGCATATCCCCAAACGGAATCAAGTATTTAGAATAGGTCAGCAAAGCCTTGAAAAAACATAATCAAATTTTCTATGTATAGTTAGTAACTAAATACTCTTCCTGACAGAAGGAAAGCTAATGTAGTCTTGTGAAATGTGAATTTTGGACAATAAATTCAAATTAAAAAAAAAAAGCAAAGCAAGCTGTTTCAAACCATTTCATCTTAGAAAGCGATCAGAAGGTGAAAACATAAAAGGAAGACACCACAGTCCACCAAATAAGTAGCCAAAAATATGCAACAAAGCTGGCAAGAGTCACTGATGGCCAATCACCTGCGGTTTTCATCCAGCACATCCAAGATCTGCTGGTAAGCCCTACGAGTAGAAGACTGGATAAGCGACAAAATGCCACGAGCAGAGGAAAGATTAGCTCCATCTTCAGGTAACATATGGGGAGGACAGACCCGAGCCTGTTGTGGCGATGGTGTCACACTGTTTACATAAGCACAGCAAATGAAGAGAAAAACACTCAAGTCAGATTTTTATAAAACTTTAACTAAGCAGTTTTTATATTAATTTTCTTAGTGTATCTTAGTTTCCTTGCCCCTCTCCCCCACCCTTCATTCTCCCCTCAAGAAAAACAGTCAAACCAAGGAATAACATTTTACGTTGTTTTCAAAAACTAGTTACAATGTCACTTTGTAAACCTGTTTACATAGAAATAAACAAACTGAATATGAAAGAACATCCTTGGAGAGGGAAGAGAACAGTGAATGTGTTCAACTGCTAACTTTGGAGAAACAGCATTCTTTATTTAGTGTACATATTGCAATTCAATAAACCAAATCTCTACGAAACAACACTGCAATCAACTTAAGGGTGATTAGTAAGAGTAGGATAGGGAATTCTCACATATAGGTGTCAAAGTTTAAACACATGAATCAAAAATGATTCCATGAAAACATTTCAAACACTTCACAAGTAAAGACAATGAAGCAAGCTGAGTGTATGATGAGTAAATGGCATTGACTTAAAGATTCATTAAAATCTTAGAAAACTGTCACAAAGCATTTTGATAGCTTAATTATAGAGCATATGTTCTCTAGTTGAATAATTAAAACGTAAAAATATTTCCAATTCTATGAATACAGTGAAAGAAGGCAAGGGCACTTCTTAAATTATAAAGATGGCCGATAGACAACAATTTGTGGCCCAAAGTGATACTAATCATCTTTTCCCATGTGGGTTGAGATTCACAATTTTTTTTGGCTCCACTGCCAGTGCTTTCTCAAAGCTGACCACATTTGAATGAAGTAATTTTTACAGTTCTAACCGAAACTCTTAAGATCCGTGTCAGTATTTTCAGAGAGCTGTTTAATGTTAGCACATGACTAAGCTATGTAAGGTATTAGCTAATACATGGACTTGGTAGTTGGTTTGTTATAATAAGAGGACTATAACACTGGGATGAGGGCTCAACATTATTAATGTCAGGATACAACACATCAGGCTTAACTTCACCCATGTGTATTATATCCAAAAGAATGAAAGCAAAGCAGATAAATCATTAAAAAAAGAAAATCTTTCAATTTGGGTAATCTCTTCTAATTTAGAGATTCTGTGGTATTTGTTTGGATACCACAAAATATTTGGGATAATTTTTGATAGACTACTTACTGTCATCTAATAGTATTCCAAGAGTCCCAGAAAACTGAAAAAAAAGAAAATCTCTACAATTGGGTGGATGACTATGAATGGCTTGATAATCCAAAGAGAGTTAGAATAAATATGAAAACCACGTTTTCCAAAGATTACTTAGGAGGAAGGGATCTAAGTCAAATCTTAGCATATTAATCAGTTACTCTATCAAGCATGATTCACCAAAGAAATTAGGTCTAATTGTGTCAAGATATACTCAAATTTTCAGATGCGGACTCATAGTCAGTGACCTTAAATGTTCATCCAAAGATGGGGAATCTTTGGAAATATATATGCCAACGTACCAACTGACCCATGGCAAAACCCATACTAGTAGGCATCCAAAAGAGCAAAAAAAGAAAAAAGAAAACAAGAAAAAAGTCAGTATATCTGGGAAGTAAAGACAATGACAATGTGCTGGTCCTACACTCAGAATTCTCCTTAGCAGCACTGTGAAAACCTCAAGCTTTTGCTGCTTATAAGAAACTAGATTGAGCTCACGTTAAAAAAAAAAGTATCACCAGAGGCAGGATTAAAAATGGCCAGTTCTGAGTCAACATAAATAATCCATTTTTATACTCTTCTTGATAGAATGGTGGGCATAACTGATCATATACCTTTCATCAATTTATGTATGCAAGTTTTATTTTTTTTTTATTTTTTGAGTTGGGAGTCTCACTGTTGCCCAGGCTGGAGCGCAGTGGTACACTCACAGCTACCCCAGCATGGACCTGCTGGGCTCAGCCTTGCAAGTAGCCAGAACTACAGGTGTGCACTACCACACCCGGCTAATTTTTTATTTATTGTAGAGACGAGGTCTTGCCAAGTTATCCATGCTGGTCTCAAACCTGTGGGTTCAGGCAATCCACTCACCTCGGCCTCCCAAATTGCTGGGATTACAGGCTGAGACACTGAGCTGGGTCAGCAAGTTTAAAAAGACTAATCAGTACTATTTCTTGGCATTTGGGGGGCTTAAATTGTGTATCACTCTGTATTAATAAATAAACTAGCTACATATTAATATACTAAAGGCTATAATAATATCTAGAGTTATGTTTAAAAAATTAATAAACTGAATCCATGAGAAAAGTTTAATAGATTTTTGCATGTCAAAAATTTTAAAAAGGTACTTTCTTTGAGAGGAATCCTTTTGCCAGAAACAAACAATAAGAAATTAGTTATTTAAATTGTAGAAGGACAAATATTTTCTGTCCATACAGGGGAAGTAAGGTGGTCATCTTATAAAATAGTCAAGCATAAACTACTTTCAGAGTAACTGCAAAGAATTTGTAAGCTGGAATGCATAAAAGGTTGGATTCTAACATACAGATCTCTCCCAATTCTAAGATTCTGTGATCATATAAAATTGGAATATGGCAATAAATGAGAAAAAAATAATCCTTACATGATCCTCAACTATAACAATAAAAATTTATGTACAAAGATAAAATATCAACTTAAGTCTTTATCAATGTTACTAAAGATATTTATTTCATCAAAGATCAGTATCAAAAAGATACTTGAGTTTCTGATTGTTTCTCAAAAGAAATTAAATTTCCAAAATTAGTAAGAAATTTAACTTTTCATTCATTTGTACAGCAATCCTCCATAAATAGCAAAAACAAAATAGGGAGTTTTTAAAAAAATTGATGACCAGTTTTGCCAATATAGGTATAGATTAAATGTCCTTGTGTGTAACATTTATTTCCATCGGCAGATGAACTGAATGATTGTATCACAAGATGACCAAAACAATATTAATAAAATAATTGAGCAATTCTCTTTCCTTTTTTTAAGTTTTAAGCAGTCTTGTAGATCTTTTACAAATTCATTTATAAACAAAAAAGAATAAGCCCCAGTTTAGCAATCAGTCTGAAACTAGCTGGAATGTCATCCACTGGTATCAATTGTGAAGAAAAACAGTGCTTTTAGAGTTAGTTGGGTTTCACCTCTGTCCATTCATGTATGCAACCAAGGTTTGTTTTGTTTTGACACATGAACTATTACAAAAAATAGAAAAGGGACATATTGCAAAAGCATTGAGAAGATTAAGTAAATGTCACGTATGTATTAGTAATTTAATAAAAAATGCACTTTGATAATAAATTGATCCTAGTAATATAATATTATAAAAATAGCAAAAGCTCAATTTCATCTTTTTAAACTAAAAGATTAGAAAATTTTGAAGAAAGCACTAATGTTTGAATGCTTTATTAGTAATAGCTCTAATTCATGCCTACATGAAATCTTATATAAGAGTTAAGTAAACAACACCAGCCAATGTCACAACTAAAGTTTAAATTTAAATTTATACAGCATAATTATGTAATTATTAAAAGGTAAGTTGAAAGTCAAGTACCTCTTTCCTTATGGATTTCCATAAGAATAATGTTTCTCAAACTGTGAGTTTAATCTTTTCAGTGAGGTACCAGCCTCTTCCAAAAAATAGTAAAGGAAAAGGAAGAGGAAAAAATTTTTTAATAAACACAAATCTTAATTTCTCTTGGAATTTTAAGTAGAGAGAAAATCTTTAAATGTTGCCAATCTCTAAAGCAATTTATTAGTTTCTATGTACATAATAATAAAACCAGAATAAGAGAAAAATCATTGGTTGTCATTGTGATTTCTTCTGTTGTTTTAAAACCTACATTAGATGTTGAATACTTTTAATGTACACCAAAATGTTCCACTCCATGAGAGGTCAGTCATTCCCATGCCTTATTTTGCCACGCTTACAGAAAGAATGGGTTTAATGATTGTAAAAAAATTCTCCCAAGGATAAATTTCATCTATGAAATTAAAAAAACAAAAACCTTAAGTGACAAACCACATTTAGACTCCAATCTCCTCCTGGGTCAAGATAAAAGAAGAAAAGATAATGTGCTAAAATTAAAAAAAAAAAGATTGGGATTGCTGAACATGTTAAGTTGAACACAGAGAACTAACATGCCAACCAAAGCAACATAAAGAAAATGAAAAAGGATGCTTGGTCCTCATGTGTAAATTATCCCATTTTCCTTTCACCAATATACCCAAAATCATATAAAACTTCTTTAGCTGGTCTACTTATTTTTTTCTTAATAAAGTATTATGATGACAGTTTGAGAAATCCTGAAACAGAGGTATTAAAAGTCAAACAGTAAAAGAATTGAGGGTATTATATGTCAATTACCTAGTGAAATAGATTAGTATTAACATATTCCTGCAAAAACAAAACAACTCCTACTTGTGAGAAGCAGAGCAGATAAAATCTTACGTGTACTCCCGTGCAGAAATCGGTGCCTGGAACCTTGAAATTTTATTTCTTGGGGCAGAATCTGATCTGTGCCACCTTAAATAATAATTATGCTTCTTTTACATATTCAGCGTTTATAACACAAAGAAAAAGCTAGATACAATTCTACTATTTTACTATTTAGAATTCATTTTTGTGCTGAAATCTGACTATAATCAATTCTATTGACTTTTCAAAATTAATTAAGAAAATAAAGACCAGTGCTCCTACTCTTATACCCACACACACTTCTATTCTTAAAGCCACAGACTAAAATAAAGTGGAGACAGGTACATTTCATGCACAATGATGCATAAAAATCTCATGTTATAAAGAAAAAGTTAAAGTAGGTAGATAGTAAACGTTTGATAATTAGTTGTACTATAGGTATTATTAATATATTGTTTCTTCCTTACCATATTACAACATTGAATACATAATATGCTCATTACACAAAATTCCTGAAGGTAATAAGATATAGATTTTCAAAGATGAATTCAATTATAGATTATAAATTTAACAATGGTAGGAGAAGGGCAATGTTACATTATTAACAAAAAGATGGTTAAGTATCTTACTATAACATGGTAACACATATAACAACCATAACAAAAAATATGGTTAAGTAATGTTAGACATTTTGCTGTGAAAATGTATAAATATTCATGTTACTTTTGTTATTCAAAATGAGATTTCTCTGTTTTATTAAATGTCTAAAAAAATGTCATTAAGGCAACTTAAGAAAAAAATCAAATATTACTTATCACTGTAAATCTTTCCTGTTTTGAGGAACTTATGTTATTGGGTAAGTGTAAAAAATATCTGTTAACTAACCATCTACTCTAAATTATACTTCACTAGACTGTTTTTCATACATATTGAAGCTGTTTCCTTTCTTTTCAACTGAATGCAGCTATTAATAATATATACTTTGTGAGAAAAAAACAAAAGTGATGCTAAAAACAAAAGCACTATAAAAATAATCCTGTTTTTATTTTATTAATATGAAATGTCAAAGTAATTAAGGACCTCAGTAGTAAGCCACAACTCTATATAGTGGATAAATTTACTAGAAATCTTTGCTGCCTTAAGAAAATATTACAAAAAGAAAATAGCTAAAGCTCTTAGGTTTATGTTTAATTATTTTGACAGCGTACTTAAGATCAAGAAGTGGCCTTAGCCATAAACTGTATAACTTTTTCAACAATTGTATTAATACGTTTGGAAACAGTCTAGAAAAATGAATTTCACGGACTTGCTGACATGAATCCTAACCAGATGCCTTCAGGAAAACAATCATAAAAAGTTTCATATTAATAATGATTGAACCTTTTAGGTGAGTATTCTCTGAAAGAGATATCTACTCATTTTAACTCACACTCTTCCTACATAACCATTCAGAATAGTTCTAACTACCTTAGAAGATATTTCAAAATTCTGCAAGGAATCAGAGCAGTTATAGTTCTCCTTTGCACCTAACACAAGAAAGTGGAATTTCAATAAGGCAAGCATGTATTTATACTGAAGTTAGAACTTCACGAATTGATTGAAACATCAACTTCTTTCAAAACAAGAATAACATATGAAAAAAAAAATTCTCTCTCTACCTTGAATATTAAGACCCTACCCCCAATCAAAGTCCCTTCTGTACCCCCTTAGTCTTTAGTCAGGTCCAAACTAGAATTTAATATGGTATAACATAAATAATATAATTTTACGGTCTCTAGTTATTTTGTAATCAAAATTAACTGTTTTGTTTTTATCTAGATTTACTAGCTCAAAGAAGGGTTGCATCATCTCCTGATTCTTTTCTAGTTCCCAGAGAAGCTTACATGATGCTTGGTATCACACAGGGCTCATGATGACTTCATGAATTGGTCAAAATATTAATGAGGAAGAAATAATTGACATATATAAACAATCTAAATATTCTGCTTTAAAAACTCACCATAGCCAATGGCTTTTTTTTTTTTTTTTTTTTTTTTTTTTTGTGAGTTGGAGTCTCACTCTGTCGCCCAGGCTGGAGGGCAGTGGCACACTCCTGGCCACCGCAGCCTCGACCTGCTGGGCTCCAGTGATACTTCGGTCCCAGTCTTCCAAGTAGCTGGAACTACAGGCATGCGCCATCACGCCTAGCTAGTTTTTTGATTTATTGTAGAGATGAGGTCCCGCCAAGTTGCCCAGGCGGGTCTCGAACCCGTGGGCTCAGACAGTCCTCTCACCTTGGCCTCCCAAAGTGCTGGGATTATAGACGTGAGCCACCGCGCCTGGCCTGCCAACAGCTTTCAAATGTAAAATCCATTTTTCAAGGGATTGAAGTTTTCTTTTTTGTAAAAATCCATTAACTTAAATAAAACATAAAAACAAACTAACAAAAAAACACTTGCCTGATCTAAAACATTTTGTGGCAGCTTTAAGATTAGGGTTCGAAAATATAACCAAATAACAATTAAATAAACCAGTAGGTTAAAAGCTAAACAAACAAATAAACAAACAAACAAACCAAACTGGAAAGAAAAAACAATTCCACTTGTTTATGCTACATTGTTGACCGCAGCTCATTAGAAGCAGAACTAGAAAGGACACAATTTTATGACAACTCAAATAACTTGAAAATAAAGATATTCTATACTTTATTTTATATTCTATATTTTCCTTTTCTACTTTTCAATCTACATGCTAATTAAACATTTTTTGAAGACTACATATAGCTAAGCACTTACATTTATCAATTTGTCCCAAGTATGCCTTATAGAAAATTTCCCATATTAGAAAATCATACTTATAGAAGAGAATCATACACATAGAAGAGGATAATGTTTCTAAAAAATTCTCACAACTAAAAAGTGGCCAGATTTCAAGACTACAAAAATAACTGCAAAAGTGTAAAATTGATGTAAATGTAAAACAGATTTTAAAAACTATTTTGAAAAAGATGAGTACAGACAATATACTGAGGAAACTTACAAAGGAGATACAATGCTTAGTGGTTCTACTCACATAGAATCATTTCTGACCAGCTGTCCATTTTGGCGAACAGCATTTTCACTCATAGAGCGCTCTCTTTTTAGCCTGCCAACTGCACGGATCTGTTAAGGCACAAAGAAAGGGAAGGAAACAGAAATATGCTTAGTAGCCTAGTAACTGCTTAGCATCCAAAGAACGTTAATTCAAGGCTACTCACAAAATTAAAAGCGACCAAGAATTGCTGCCTGGCATGTGTATTATAGAAAGACTTGTTAAAAAAACCCTACTTACCGTAATGCAGATAAACTTAGGAATGCCTATTCACTTTAAGATAAAAGCTACCCTGGTTTCTTTTTAAGTATCAATCTTACTTAGTACAACTATTATTATTTGTTATAATTTCATATTACATATTTAATTATTTATAACACTAATTTACCGGAATTTTAAAGGCACATATATTACAGGAAATGGAGTGCATCTATATTACAAATAAACGTGTTCCTGGCTTCTAGGGTGAAAATGCATTTGGATTTGGTTATATGTTTGAAATCTGGACTAAAAAAGTATTTTTCTGCCAGGAGCGGTGGCTCACGCTTATAATTCCAGCACTTTGGGAGGCTGAGGTGAGAGGACTGCCTGAGCCCACAGGTTTGAGACCAGCCTGGGCAACATGGCAAGACTTCATCTCTGCATTAAATCAAAAAATTAGCTGGGCACACTGGTGCATGCCTGTAGTTTCAGCTACTTAGAAGACTGAAGCAGAGCGATCACCTGAACCCAGCAGATTGAGGCTGTGGTAGCCATGAGCGTGTTACTGTACTCCAGCCTGGGCAATAGAGTGAGACACCAACTCAAAAAAAAGAAAGAAAAAGAAAAAGAAAAAATGTGTCTTTCTAATGTATTGGTTTTGGTATACCAGAATGGCAGAGTAGTCACAATCTCGAATCCTACATGCTCTTCTGATTAAATGTACATTTGACAGGATCTATGTTCATTTCCCTTGAAATTAGGAGGGCTAGTGACTGCTGTAGAGATAAGGCAATGTGTTTTTCCCCTGCAGCATATTCATATTTGAAACAATGGTACTATGATGTAAAGAAGCCCAAGTAGCCAGATGGCAAGGCCATATGTAGGTGCATCAGCCCATAACCCTAGCAGAGGTCACAGACAACAGCTATTATCAAGTACACGAGTGAGCAAGCCTTCAGATGACTGCAGTCTCCAGCCGTTGAGTCATCGTTAGCCTTTGAGACTTCCTAGCGTAGGCCCCAGACATTGCGAACAGAAACAAGCTTTTCCCATCATGCCCACTGAAAATTCCTAACCCACAGAAACCACAAGCAAAACAAATAATTTTGTTTTAAGCCACTAGGTTAAGGGTGGCTTGTTAAATAGTAAGAGACAACTAGAACAGTGGTAATTGTTAACTTCCTTGCCTATTTAGAAAATCCTTTTTTTTTTTTTTTAAATAAAAACATTCATGGCAACTGCTTGGTTAAAAAAAAATTAAACTTCACTGTAAAGGACAACTAGTATGTGAATCAAATAACTAAAAAAAGATTTTTCAAAAATATTGATCAATATTTATTGGTCAAAAAAAAAAACTGGGGAGTAGATTATCAGGTTATAACACCACCAAAGCAGAGCAGATCCTATATTTCATGTCAACAAAACTTAAAACCACAGTATCCAGCAGGCAATTTCACATCATGGTTTAGATTTGGTTATGGTTATGAACAAATTACTTATCTAAACAAAAGAAAATCATAACTTTGAAAACAGAGGAGTCAGTTTGGAGCCTTTTAAGGTTAACCTTCAGGTCAAAATTATCTTTGAGTAAGTAAAATGTAACATGTCCAGATGTTATATTTAACACGGCCATAATTAAGTACATTTTATTCTTGTATAGTGTGCAGTACTGGGTTGGTTTGGAAGAATCCTACCGATACTTGCCTTCCTACATTGCAGAATTGTGGTTGCTTTTCCTACAGTACAATAGCTCTTCCATATAGCAGGGATCAAGATGAACCATCTATTAAATCAGAACCATTCCTACTTCTATGTGGTGAGAACTAAGATCAAGTAGAATAGGAAATGGTGGGAGAAGACAAATACTTCAACATAGCCTGAGAAGCTAGAAGATCCTAAGTCTACTGCTATTTTCATCATTTCAAGACCAAGTTAAAATATATCTTAACAGGTACACTGAGCTTGATATTAGTGCCACATTGGGGGGGGGAGGCAACATAAGACAAATGCAGATTTATTATGCTTCCTAATGTGACTTGACTTGCATACCGTAATACCAAATAATTTAGATACTGCCTGCGGTAGTAAGGAACACAATGCTCTTTAAAATATCTTCATCACTTAGTTAAGGCGGTGGTGGACTTTTTTTTTCCGAGGTAAGATTCTAAATTGTCATTCAGAATCCTCCTGAATAGATTATCCACTTACTTTTTATTCACTCCTGAAGCTGAGAAATATAGCTTCCTAGCTTTGGACAACATCCTGGAAGCTGGGTCATAGGGTCTTCTATGTCTAATTGTATAAAATGTAGCACCAGCCACATGTTACCAAATGCAAAATATTCCCCTTTAATATGTTTATACTCCAAGATACACTTGATTATTCATAAATTCCTGGGCAAATAAATGTCCTCTAGGTTTTTTGTTTACTGGTTCTCAATCTAATCAAAGCCTACCACTCCTGCAATAATCTGCTCAGAGGTTTTAGTATTTTTCCCTCTATACTCATCCCTGTTTTCTGTGGGACTTTTATTGGAGAAAAGGAAAAGGTAAGAATTAACAATGTGGAATGAACAACTGGGATAAACATCCTCCCTCCCCAAACATGCTCACTGTTCAAAATTTAAAATAAATAACTAGGGGGAGAATAGTTAAGCCAGTGACTGTGGGTTTGAGGAAAGAAACATGGACCAATGTGTCAGAAACGAAGAGACCATACTTGTGCTAAGAAGGCCATAGAACAGTAATTGTACAAAGAATGTGAGAGCAACCTCTGAATCTTCCATGGAAAAATGTGTATACATATATACAATTAAGTTGTTCTCTCCTTTTCCTTTTTTTCTCCAGATTTTTGCTCAGTTCTGCTCACTACAGTCCCAGTTCCTCTTTCCAGACAAGGGGGGAAGAAAAGGGAACTAAACAAACCATCACCAAATTGTGATCAGACCCACATCCAACAGGTTCTTGATTTCCTGAGCTTTTGCAGGACTTTTTAAAGTATCCACTGAGTGCCTGAAAGTCCTTTTGCATTTGTACTAGGATGTGCCATATAGCTGGGTAACTCATTACACTTCAGTTCAACTGTGGATCTTTTGCTTCACATCCTCAGGGTTGTCATGTCAATCGAAGTAGTCATCCTAGGGCACCTATAACCAACTGCTGCTTCCTTTTAGGGATTACAGGTCTAATGCCTTGTGTTAGACATCCATAGCTTTTGTGTTATCATTCTGCTTATAAGGCTGATACTTTCCAAATGGAATCAGCGATGAGGCTGGACCTAGCTGGATATTACTTCTCCCATTCCTTGAGCTGCGGCTGTATACTTTGTACACAATTGCTGTAGAATATGGCATCTTGTGGATGCCATTTGATGAATCCTGGGTCACGGTTTATATATAAGCCAACTGATTTTGCTCCTTCTGGGTAATTTCTAACTATTGACAGTTCTTGGGTATATCGGGGTTCAGAGCTCTCCCAAAGATTTATTATAGAAATGGATGGCATTTTCATACTTCTGTTCTTTGAAGTAGGAGGGACAAAAGTGCTTACAATCCAGCTTTATTCCAGTCTGTTTTCTCTTCCTACTTCAACAGCCTTCTCACAAAGCTCTTGGCATTTAGTGCAGTTGATCTTTTCAAAGCATACCACTGCTTGATAGATAAGATGCAATAGAGGAGTCCAAAGTTTTGACTCGGTCACATTGTTCAAGACTGTGTCAGATTTTTTAGGCATCACTTTCTAACTACTTCTTTATAGTTCCTCCTGTTCTCTGGAAGACCCTTCCCCACTGGCTCCAGTTGAGATTCCGCTTTGAGAGGAGACGGTAGTAGTAACATCACTGTCTCTTTCTCCTCATTCACACTGCCTCATCTTCTGTAAGAATACTGAGAGTTGTCATTATTTGGTATTTTGTTGTTTTCATCCTCTTATCACATGATTTACTACCTGCCTGCAGGCAGAGTCACCAAGCAATTGTCCTAGAGATGACATCCAAATATTGGCAGACATCAAGCACGCTGAAAGGATTCATCAATTTTCTGTCTTCCAGTCAAGACTCTAGATTTTATAAACCCACTTTGGGTTAGGGGATTATTAGAATTATTTTTTTTGAGTTGGAGTCTCACTCTGTCGCCCAGATTGGAGTGCAATGGCACGTTCCCAGCCACCGCAGCCTCAACCTGCTAGACTCTGGTGATCCTTCAGCCTCAGTCTTCCAAGTAGCCAGAACTACAGGCGTGTACTACTACGCCTGACTAGTTTTTGATTTATTGCAGAGACGAGGTCTCACCAAGTTGCCTGGGTGGGTCTCGAACCTGCGAGCTCAGGTAACCCTCTTGCCTCGGCCTTCCAAAGTGCTGGGATTACAAGCTGAGCCACCGAGCCTGGTGGGTTAGGGGATTATTTATATCATGTTTTAAGCCTTCCTCATATACTCATTTGGATTCTTTAAGCCAGTTTAAGAACTCAAGTACAGTTGCTTCTTACAATTATATCCCTTGCATCAGTTGGGCTTTTAGACAACCATTTCATAGACTTCCTTGTAAGTTTTCTCCAGGTAGTTTCCTTTCTTAGACCAGTGGTTCTCAGTTGGGGATGATTTTGCCCCCTAGAGAACATCTAGCCTTGTCTGAGAATATGTTCTTTTTTATTGTGGCAAAAGACATATAACATACAATTCACAAATTTTAAAGTGTGCAATTCAGTGGCATTTAGTACTTTCAAAATGTTGTGCAGCCATGACCACTATCTAGTTGCAGAACATTTTCATCACCCCAAAAAGAAAACTCATACTGATTAAGCAGTCGTTCTCAATTCCCCTCTCCTTTAATCCCCTGGCAACCACTAATCTGCATTCTGATTCCACAGATTTGCCTACTCTGGATATTTCATGTTAAGGAAAAGAATTTCAATATATGGCCTTTTCTGTCTGGCTTCTTAAACTTGGTTTGCTTTCAAGGTTCACTTATGTTGTAGCATGTATCAGTACTTCATTTTTTTTTTTATGGCACTATATGGATATATCATATTTTGCTTATCCATTTATCATCTGATGGACATTCTGGTTGCTTCCACCTTTTGGCTATTGAAGACATTTTTGAATGCCATGACTTGAAGGATGCTAAGGTATCGTGTGGAAAGAAATCAAGAATGATGTAAACATTCTACAGTGTAAAAGGACAGACTTTATCACAAGAGTAAATTCTCTAATCCAAAATGTCAATAGTGCTAAAGCACAGAAACCGTGGCATAAAATGATTACTACACAGCAAATGGTTCTGGGGCTCTCACCTCACAGATTCTGAGTAGTATCTGAGTGAATCATCAAATGTTATCAGCACTCAGGGCCTTATTACCCTTCTATTTCAATCCATTTCTTGAAGTTGCTGGAACCCTAGCTTCTTCTATGCTTCCTTCTTTGCTCATTGGTTGATTATCTCTTGAGGGTTATCAGACTCTTCTATAAACTTTACGTACATCATCTTTGTTTTCCTATCAACAGATATCTGGTACTAATCGTCTCAGAAACTCTTCTCTTGAATCTCAGGATTTCGCTCCTGCCACAAGATTTTAACTCTTTTGTAACAGTAACATTTATACATATTGAACTTTTAACATGAATGAGAACATGCCCTTACACGCATTATTACATTTAATTCTCACAATATTCTTATGCTATTGGCATTATTCTTATCTTGATTTTAGAGATAAAACATAGAATTGTTAAATAATTTGTCCAAAGTTATAGGGTTAGTAAATGGCAAAGTAAGCCTTCAAAATTAGGTCTAATTCTCAGCCAAAGTTTTTCACCCCAGTGCTATACACTCTGGGCATTTATCACACTTGATTAGACATCAAAATAAATCTTGATTAAACATCAAAATGAATGCACAAGTGAACCTCATAGTCTTAAAGCCTAGATCTACTGAGGGTTATCCTAGCAAACTTTTCTTCAATCTCAACATAATCACTCAGGAAAGTGCTTGGGTGGCTTTCAATCAGTTATTTACACTGAATAGGCAAATGTGCCTAAAACAATAAAGAGGAGCAGAAAGTCATAAGAAAAACAAAACCTGAAGAATTAGCATAGAAAGAGTCTCTCTCCTGGAAAAATTATCACTCCAAGGAAATCGTTTTTTATAGCTATAATTCTCATGAAAAACTTTGAAGAGTTGGAAAGCTGGACCTCCTTTGTACAACTATCTTCATTACTTTCACTATTCTCTGCTGTTAAAGAACTTTATATCTTCTGTATGCTGATGTCTTTTCCTTATCATTGTCCTGCTATAAGAAGGCAGAAAGCAAGCTTTTTGAGAGCAGGAATTATGTCTCATTCATTCTTATACTGCATACAGCTTCTCACACATAAATATTTGCCAAATAAATAAAATTTTGCAAGTAATTCAGTGCCTTTTTGTCATGTAAACACTCAAATTTAGGGATTTCACAAAGTAAACATATAGCCATAAAAGCTCTTTCTTCAAACCACACAAATCTTAAAACTTTCCACAAAAATTTCTTTTTCCTAAAATATAATGTTTAAATAAAACCATAGCATAGTATCTTATTTGGAGTATTTATAAATTAGAATTGTTAATAATCAATATTCCATACAGAAAACTTTCATTACATATTGCTAATTATATGATTTGTAACCTCTTAACTCTTCTCTAACTTTTACTTTTATCTATATTATTTCAAATTCTGTTTATGTTAACGTTCTACTTACTTCTTCATTTTGAGGGGTTGTGGGAGGTCTCTCTAAATCCAGAAAATCTAGTGGTCTTTCACTAAGCGTAAGTACACGAGGTGGTGTTTTCAGTGCCAGAGGTTTAAAGGGAGTTGACTGAATAAGGTCAAGATCTGCTGGTCTTGAAAATGAAATGTCTTCATTATTTCCTAGGAGTAAAAAAGAAAAAAAAAAGAAAAGGTGGGCGACTTCAAAAAAGATAGTGAGAGAGTGATTTTATTAAAATGTATTTACCTTCTCTTTGCTTTTGAATTAAAACCTAGCCAGTAAGCATTAGTTTCTTTAAAAGTGCTTTCAGCATATAAGAATTGACATTTCATTAAAATTTATTACTGTGCTATAGAAATGGTAACGAAATTATGCAAAAACATACACGGACCAAAAAAAAAAAACCAAGTTATCAAGAATACATAGTAAAAAAAAAACCAAAACCTCTTACAACACTCAATTTTTCAAACTGGGAAAACAACTGAATAGACACTTCACAAAGAAGATATACAAATGGTCAAAAAGCATGAGCAGATGTCCAAAATTATTAGTCATCAGGGAAATAAAATTAAAATAATGAGATATCACCATACACCCACTCAAACAGTTAAAATTAAAAAAACTGACAATACAAAATGTTGGCACGGACATGAAACCACTGAAACTCTCACACATCATCAATGAAAATGCAGCATAGCACAACAATTTGGAAAATAGTTTGTTAGCTTTGCAAAAAGGTAACTATAACTTGTAATATGATCCATCAATTTCACTCCTAAAGATATGAAAACATATATCCTCACAAAGACTTGTACATGAATATTCACAGTAGCTTTTTTTTTTTTTGAGTTGGAATCTCATTCTTGGAGCCCAGGCTGGAGTGCAATGGCTGGCTCATGGCCACCGCAACTTCGACCTGCTGGGTTTTGGCAATCCTTCCGCCTCAGTCTTCCAAGTAGCTAGAACTACAGATGCATGCCACCACACCCGGCTAGTTTTTGTGATTTATTGTAGAGACACCATGCTGCCCAGGCCGGTCTTGAACCCTCGGGCTCAGGTAATCCTCTCACCTCAGCCTCCCAAAGTGCTAGGATTACAGGCCAGTAGCTTTAATCCTAATAGCCTCAAGTAGGAAGCAACTCAAATACACATCAACCGATGAGTGGATAAACAAATTACGGTCTATCCAAACAGGGGAATATTACTCAGTAATAAATGGAATGAACAACTGATATATGCAACAACAGAAGATCTCAAAAACATTATACTCAACAAAAGAAGCCAGATAAGACTATATACTCTATGATTCCATTTACATACATGAAACTTTAGGAAAGACAAATCTATTCTCTGGCTATAGAAAGGAGATTGGATTGCCTGGAGTTGAGGGACAGGAACTGACTGAGGGGCACAAGGGAACCTTCTGGACAAAAATGTTTTATATTTGGACATGGTAGTTACACGAGTGTACATTTTGTCAAAACTCATCAAGTATATACTTAAAATGTATACTTTTTATGTGTGTAAAACCTCAAAAATTAGTTGAATTATTTTCAAAAACACTGAAATTTCAAAAATATGAAGCTATATTTCCCTATTTCTTTTCTAAATAGTTTGAAAAACCCAAAAGTTTTCATAGAGATATATAACACAAGGATTTGTCAGGTAACTTTCTAAGCAAATGTGAAATACCTGCTACAACAATCCTTTCTGGAACCTGCATTATCACACTAGCATTTGGAACGCCTTCTTGGAATCCTTGTTCCAGTTCAGCATTTGGTGGTGCTACTTTTAACTTTTCCGGGACCCTCATTCGCTGACTAATACCTTCGGTATATTCCATTTCATACTGAATTCGACTAATTTCCGCCATCTCAGCAGCAGTGGGAGAAGGAAATGCTGCCCCACTCACCCTGTGGAAGAAAAATTTGAAGACAGGGATGACTGAGTGTTAAAATGTCAGTCTCCTCTATGTAGTGAAATTAGAAGACAATACCTTATAGAAAGAGCAAAAGAAAACTTCTCACTTGAAAGAACTGAACACATACAAAGAAAAAAATGAAAGATTAAAGAAAATGTTTTCCTCAACAAAATGTCTTCTTACTTATCAGCTGAAATTGAACCCTGAGGATATTGTTTAGGAACAAAATTTTAAAATTATTATATACTACAACACAAATAAGTACATACATACACACATATTCTCTCTCTGCATAAAAAAGATGCATGCTGCCTACAACTCAAAACTGCCTGAAATAAAATTTAAATTAAAATTTCATCAACTTGAAGGAAAGCAGCTTGAATTTTATAAAAATAAAATCAGAAATTGCCGTCATGCATGAAAAAACAAAATCTTTAAATGATAAAATCAGATTAATATAGCAAATAAGGTTAATTCTGAATTTACTAAAAGAGAGGATGCAGCTCCCTGAAAATCACAGCAAAAAATTAAAACTTCTCATATTCACTAGATATCTAGTGACTGAGATGCAATGAATACCAAATAAAGAAGTTGTATTAATAAATCTTAATGTATGCATTCATTTTCAAAGGGACTGAAAGTTTTACGTTCATTTGTATTAATATCATATTTACATGTATGTCCTTAAAATGCAATAGAAAGGATGTTGCCCCAAAATACAAAATGTTGATAAAAGTGTAAAAGAGCATGGTTAGCCTATGGCGATCAGCTTTAATGCCACTATCTCTCAAACCTATAATACCAGCTCAACTGAATAAAATTTCACTGACCTTCCTAGTGGTGTGTCACTGCTTGTTCTTTTACTCATTTTAATACAGTAAATACACGTATACAATAGCTATTAAAATACTGCTACCCTGTCGTTCAGTTTACTTTACACAACAATTCCCCTACAGATCTGAACTTTTTTTGGAGGTGTACATAACAACACGGACACTGCTTTTCCAGCTGTAAAAAAGAAAGAATAAAAATCAGTATTTCAACAATTCATTTCATATGAAAACTATGAATAAAATTAAATATCTACTTAAAATTATTTTAGACTTGAACATGGCTTGGGGTTTGATCTTAGAAACCAATTTTCAAATCTGCCCTAAACAGAGCCTATTCTATACCTTGAAAATCAGAAACATAATTTTAATCATAATCATTGTTTTATGATCCTTACAAATAAGATAAAAAAGTTTTATCAAATGTATATACAAAAGTGAAGTCAGATTAGAAAAAAGAATAACACTGCTATTAAACTCCTCTAATCATTATATTCCAAAGGGGATACACTAAGTCCAAATAAAAAAATCATGAGAGGAATACAGAAGGCAAAAAGTAAATGCATCTGAGGTAGCCTAAAAATCTGATAGGTAAGTAAAGGATTCTTTAAATGGAAATAAACTTCAAATACCAAATTACATTAAGTTTCTAGCAAAAGAGAATATACAAGAAAGGTAATAAAAAGTTAAAGACAATAGAAATGTCTGTAACATAACTGGGATATTTCCTAAACTTCATGTCAGAGATATATTCTGCACTCTAAGCCCCACTTCACTGAGATGCTTAGGAGAGTTCTTAGAGGTTGCTTAGGGTGCTAAGCCCCAGTAACAGGTTTGATTATGACTGCTAACTAGCTTCTTTTATTCTTTACCAAAATGTCTTTGGGAACATGAATCTTTAAGGCTTTGGCATGCAGATGATTTGAAGGTTAAGAAAACAGAGCCAAAAGGGAAAAATTTTACTCACAAATGTGTACTCACTACTGCTTGCAATTTGGCACTATCTGCTTCTGTGCTTCATATTAAATCTTTTAACTTGCTTCAATGTGCATGTGCTGGATCAAGAGCCACTTTTGTCCCTGGGGAAGAAAAACAGGGACTAACTGAGAAACTATATCATACCACTATTAGGGGATTCACTGTTGGAAATTCTCCAAATGTTAAGACATACAACCTTACATTAAGAAATCAATAAAAGAATAAAGAAAAAATTAACAAGTTTACCATCGATCTTAGTCCCGCAGACAGGGCCCTATGGCTACTCACTAGGTAAGGTAAGACTAACTCTGTCATTGTTTCTGATTTGTATTTAGAAACACATGGGAAATGAAAAACATAAGCATTTAATACTTAAATGTGCATGTACATACATATATACATACACATATATACATATATATTAGGAGGAACCAATGCATCGATTAAATTTTCAATCACTTAAAATGTTTTTAATTTTGAACCAATAATGCATGTACAGGGTAAAAGTACATAAGAATATACAGAGAAAATGAAGTGTTCCGCCCAATCTTATCCTTAATCACCCAGATTCCCACAAGCAACCTTTATAATCAATTTTTGTGCACCTACTAGATAGGAAGCTCTTCTAATACTTGTGTGTATCTGAAGCACAGTAACTCTTATATTCAGATATAACACTGAAAAGAGCTATCTTAAAAAGATTATAGCCTTGGGACGTGATACACTGAAGTTTTTTAAATACACAAGAGAAACAAGTTGCTGGAACCACAGTATCTCCTTCAAATGTGTTGCTCTCTACATTCTGTTCATTGTATTTCAGTCTTATTAACTTTCTACTAGCACATCTCATAGGTCTCACTAGCATGTTTTATTCTATAGCAACATCTTTCGTTATAAAAATCTCTGAGTTTGTAAAAACTCACTGACTTAGAATATAAAGGCAGACACTGAAAAGCCAACTTCTGAAAAAAGCCAAATTCTCATGTGGCTGAACTTCTTAAATTTTAAAAGTAAATGAAAATTTTCTACTATGATTTAACACTGTACTTATTGGGTTTTCTGCTTAAGAAAAGCAATCAAAGTCTAATTTATTTTCCATCATTAGATCATGGCATTTTGGGTAATACCTTTTGGCAAGAAATAAAATACACATCTCATTTGGGGTTAAGATATTAATTCCACAAGTTTTGTCACTAAGAATCTAGTAGGCAACCAGTACATGACTCTGTTATGTAACTAATGAGACAAAATCTCCCTCAGAATCACAGATGATTGCAGATCTCTACTTTCTAAGCCCAGTGGTTTCCAAACATCAGTATCTAACTTACCAATTTCATGAGCTTATTTCCTTCCTTACAAAGTACGTTTACTCTTAGGTACACTTAATTTGTTTTTTTTTTTTTTTTTTGAGTTGGAGTCTCACTCTGTCGCCCAGACTGGAGTGCCGTGGCCGGTCCCGGCCACCGCAGCCTCGACCTGCTGGGCTCCGGTGATCTTTCCGCCTCAGCCTTCCAAGTAGTCGGAATTACAGGCATGCGCTACTACGCCCGGTTGATTTTTTGATTTATTGTAGAGGTGAGGTCTCGCTGCCCAGGTGGGTCTCGAACCCACAGGCTCAGGCAATCCACTCACCTCAGCCTCCCAAAGGCGCAGGATTACAGGCTGAGCCACCGAACCCAGCGGTACACTTAATTTTTAACTCAACTTTTAAACACTAAATACATACATTTTATTTATTTATTTTTTAGAAAGCAGGATTTATTAAGAGGACAGAAAAGCTCCCACAGCAGGAGGGGACCCAAGGAGGTTACCCAATAAATGCATTTTAAAAGGAAATTTTATATCACTACCTTAAACCATGGACTTGATGTATATATACACACATTACAAAAACATACTACTACAAAGAGCCCTTATCCACATACTACTTAGAGTCAAGTCACTATTAATGGTATAGAGTGTACCAGTTTGGGGACACCTGATTCAAATTCAATTTTCTCATTTTTTATATTAGAACACTGGAACCCAGAAAGCCTAGGAAGTCACTTAGATCAAACTGATTGTGGTTGCAAAGATTTTTAGAATTCTCCAATTACAAAAACAAACAAAAAGACAAAACTCCAGTTCTTTATCACTTATTGTGTGGATCTAGTTCAAGGTTTTTTTATAGGCCACCCTGTTTCAGTTCTCTTCCCAAGCCCCTAACCCAACTAACTGTACTTAAAAAGTCACTGCAAACTTTGAAAACTATATATTAGCAAAATTTAAAATAAGGTTATGAACCCACAGAAAAGTTTCAACACCAGGAGGGCGGAAGGACAACAGATAAACCTTGCAATACTAAAAGGAGACTGCTCTATCAGACGGACAGCAAGAGAACACAGTTTCCTTTTGGAAAGAATAGCAAACCAATCCACTAGCATTTGAAACCAAAAAGATAGTGGGTCCCCCAAATAATTGAACTACATGGTAAAAGACTACTAAGTACAACGAAATCATCCTACTTTTTTCTAATTGTTTTTCTTGGGGGATCTCATTAGTCAACGAAATTGAGGCAGAAACAAATGTTTCTCACCCAGGGAGAGAAAACATTCACAATCGTTCTCTAAGTGGGTGAGAGTACTGGATTCAAATGGTTCTATATCTGGGCACAAGGACCCCAAAGCTTTTTTTTCTTTAACTTCTGCAATTAAAAGACATCATCGCTTTGGTTAAGGGTGCTCGACCTCGAGAATGCCCCCCTTCCTCTGTGAGACGCAGCTGGGGGTTTTATTTTGCAATAGAAAGACTCGCCTTCAGATCAAGGTCAGAGAGGCTCGGCGGGACGCGCACCCGAGCTTTCCTCCAGCTTCCCTGCTCCTGGAAGGAACCCAAGGGGCAACTGCCTGCATCCACACCTGAGCGCCAGGATGCTTACAGCGACAGGGACCTCGCTGGCGGCCCACAGTCACCCGCGATGCCACAACCTGGGCTTCCAACAAGGCCTTTCCCTTCGAACGTGGACTTGCCACAAGGCAAAACCCTGCTTTTAACTAGGGCGGGTTTAAGGTCACTTTGTAACATGTTAGGGCCGAGGCCAGGAGGGATGAGTGAAGGCGACCAGCAAAGCTCGGCGTTCAGGCTCACGGGACTCTCCTGCCATCTCCCAAACCACTAACTACTTTCTAGTCGGAAAAGTCCGAAGTAATGCACAAAAGCCGCCGAACCACAAAAGGTGAAGACGTTCGCCAAAAAAAAAAACATTTGCAAGAGAGGGTGCTTCTCTGCCTCGTCTCCTCGGGGTCGGCGGAGGAGGAAAGGCCAGGGTTCAAGGCGAGAGGCCCGGGGGACGGGACTCCGACCAGCACGACACCATGGGCGGATCAGGGCCACCGAGGGTCCTTCCGTCGCCTTCAGGGTCACGGCGGCGGAGCTAGGCCCTGCGAACAGCTCGGACCGCGGGTCGGAAAGACGTCAGCACTCACCCCTGGGCCCACCGGAGGGTCCCCGGCGAGGGCCGCCGCCCGCCGGCTCCCGGGGCGCTCGGGTGGGCGCTCTCAGAGGCCGTTGGCCGAGCGCACCGAGGCGCCCAAGCAAAGCACCGGCAGAGCAGCTCGCCGAGGGCCGGGAGAGACGCGAGAACGGCTAGGGCTGGCCCCTTCCAGGAGCCGTAGCGGAAGCAGGTTCTTGGTCATGTGACACGGGAAAGGGCGGACGTGCGGCTCACGCACAGGAGCGGGGGCCATGAGAAGGCAATACGGAGACATCTTTGTTGTGGGCAAAGAGCGCCGACCGCAGGTAACACGTCTGCCGTACTTCAGTTTGGTTCAAGCTTAGCCTTTGTTAGACTGCGTGATCTTTGAGAACCTAGTGTTTGCAAGGTAAACCCGGCAGGTAGTTAAAATAACTTTTTCAGGACCATCTGCGTCAACATTTCTATGGAATGAAGCCTTAAGAATCCTCATATTAAGCCGGGCGCGGTGGCTCAAGCCTGTAAACCCCGCACTTTGGGAGGCGGAGACGAGAGAATTTTCGGAGCTTAGGGTTCAAGACCAGCCTGAGTATCGTGGTGAGACTTCGTCTCTACAATAAATTTTTAAAAAAAATTAGCCGGGCGTCGTGGCACATGCCTGTGGTTCCAGCTACTTGGAAGGCTGAGTTGGAAGGATCACCTGAGCCCAGCAGGTCAATGCTCCGATGGCTGTGGGCGTGCCACTACATTCCAGTCTGGGCGATTGAGTAAGACTCCCATTCAAAAATTTAAAAAAAAAAGAATCCTCATATTTAACCAGCTCCATGAGTGATTCTTATACACTCCAATTTTCATTACTCTTTAAGTCCTCTAATGATCAGATATTGTCTACCAAGATGAGAATCGCGGAAGATGGGAAGTTACGTTCCATAGTAGTTATGCTCACAATATTGGGATGAACTGAAGCCAGGTAACAGAATACTTTGTATGCCTCAATTTTCACAACCGAACAAAGGTAGACACATGAGTTAAGTACTCCTCTACAATCTGAATATATTCTAGAGTTATTGCCATTCTTCCTGAAAATTTGGGAGGCCTTCTGAATTGCGTTACTGGGCTTAAGATTCTGGTATAGGGAAACTGTCCCCTCTACCCTCTTGAGGTCTTGGGTGGGCCTAAGAAATAAACTGACATGAAACGGACTAGCAGGAGGAAAACATTCAAATTTTATTTAGTAATTTTTATATGCACATTGGAGCCTTCACTAGAGAAATGACCCAAAGAAGCAGAGTTCAAAGCTTATATAATAGATTGGTTAAAAGAGTAGTAAATTATGAAAAAGTGAGAAAACGGTGGTGTTGGGTTACAGCAGTTAATAGTGGAGAAGTGACTAGGAAGATAATGGTTAGTTTAACAAGTTTAGTTTGTACAGATGTCTCTCGGCTTTGTCTTCCTGTCTTTGGTGATAAGAATATCTCCCTTCTTGTAACAGGGAGGCCACCCTTCACATGAGAGTTTTATCTGCTGCAAAGGAAGCAAAAGAATAATCAGAGTACACCTCTGTTTTTTAAAAAGTGTCTTTGGCTTAAAATAATCTTTATACAAAGGTGTCAGATTTGGGGCTGGCATATTCTACGACCCTACAATGACAAATCATCCTTTAAGAATAGGTAGATTTTAGGAATAACCAGTCATTCCGAGTCAACCTTTGGGGGAGGATAGAGATCAAGCTGGGTGAACCATCTATGATTAAAACCTTTGGAAATCAGGTTCTTGCTGTTTCCACTAACCCTTCCACTTCTTAATTACTTGCAATTTGGTTTTTATTTCTGATCTTCCTCAAAAGAAAAACATTTTGAAATAACTTTTACATGAAGGTTGTGATCCAGATACCAAACCTAATGTCCTCCCCCATTATCTTGATCATCTTTTATCTTCCTGTATCATTTGATTTCTGTTCATTTGAATGAGGCAGAGTTGTACCTTAAAGTACCTAACACTTCTGGTAGTAGATTCTTGAAGAAGAAGACATTTTCTCTCCCTTATGTGGAAACTTTGCTCCCTCATTTGTGTGATATACCTGTGTTCATGTTGGGTCTTCCTTCTCTTCTGGCATTAATGTGGACATTCCTAGTTCTGATTTAATATATCATTGACAATCTTTGCAACCACAATTGCCTCAAATCTCATGTGGGAAAGGAGAGTATATAAATCTAAATTAGCACATCATTTAGTCTTGACCTGTTGCACTATTTCTAGTCAATTCTACTTAAGTGCTCCATAGGTGCTTTGATCCCAATAGGGTTTCAAACTCAGTTGTTTTTTCTCAGTGCAGATACCGTCTCCTAAATGTCTTTTTTTCTCCAGTTAATGGCAAGGTTATTTTTTCCAGTCATCAAAGTTCAAAATACTGACATTAGCTTTCACTGTCACTCAAGTACCCAGCAATGGCTAATTAAGGTATCAATTTTAGTGGATTAAATTATATCTAAATAACTTGGTAAAACATTATTTCTGAGTATGCCTTTGAGCGTGTTTCTGTAAGAGATTGGTGTTTGAATCAGGAAACTGAATAAGAAAGATGTGCCCTCACCCAACCTGAGCAGGCACCCTTCAATCAGCTGAAGGTTTGCATAGAACAAAAAGGCAGAGGAAAAATGAATGTGTTCTTTCTCTCTTCTGGAGCTAGGACAACCATATTCTTTTGTCCTTGAACATCAGAACTCCAGATTCTTTGGTATTTGGACTCTGGGACTTGTAGTAGCAACCCCTTATATTCTCAGGCCTTTGAACTTGGCCTGAGCCATGATACTGGTTTTTCTGGTTTTCTGGCTTTCGGACAGTATATCCTGTCTTAGTCTTCACAAAATTGTGTGAGCCAATTCTCTCCCATAGATCTATGTCTGTCTATCCATCCTTCAAATTTGTTTCTGTTTCTCTGACTAATGCATCCCCCAGCATTTAGATTCTCCCTATTCAATGCCAGCCATGTGCTTTATCTGTTCCTACTGCTAGACAGTTACCCCCATCATTTGGGCTGTTTCTCTTTTAACTGGCCTCCTCATCTCCAGGCTTTTTTCTCTAGTTCTTCCTAGACAGTGAATCTACACAGAACTTATTTTTTTACAAATTGTGACATCCCAAATATATTTATTTATTTGTTATTTATTTATTTATTTATTGAGTCTGGGTCTCATTCTGTCATCCAGGCTGGAGTGCAGTGTCATGCTCATGGCTTACCACAGCCTTGACCTTTTGGACTCAATCCTTCTGCTTCAGCTTCTTAAGTAGCTGGGACTACAGGCGTGCACCACCATGCCCAACTTATTTTTTTATTTTTGTAGAGACAAGGTCTCCCTATGTTCCCTAGGCTGGTCTTGAACTCCTGGGCTCAAGTAATCCTCTTGCCTTGGCTTCCTAAAGTGCTGAGATTATAGGCATGAGCCATCATGTCCTGTGACATCCCAAATATAAAGCCTCAGGTTTAAGATAAAATTGATGATTTATAGTTACCTACAAAATCCAAAAGTTTGTAACAGCAATCTTACAATTTTTAAAAACACTTGAAACTATGAAATAGCCTGGCAAGTACACAAGTACAGTGTGTTAAATACTGGATCTTCCAGGTTATTGTTTGTATCAGTGGTCCTCAACCCCCCCAGGCTACTGACCATATGAGTCTTTGGCTTGTTAGGAAACAGGCCACACAGCAGGAGATCTAGCTTGCATACTCCTTATGAGAATCTAATACCTGATGATCCACTCCACTCCCCACCCCTAAGTCTGTGGGAAAATTGTCTCCCATGCAACCAGTTCCTGATGACAGAAAAGTTGAGGATGCTGGTTTATCTGATAATTCCACTCTTTCGCTTAAAATCTTCACCACATCTGTAGTGGCAATCAAGAAAGAATGAGTCAACTTGGTATTCTAAACCCTACCTAATATGGCTTTAACTTACTTCCACAATGTGACTTTACCACTGTGTGTATGATGTGTATAAATATATATTGTACATTCTTGGCCATTAATTGTCCCCTGAGATTGCGTCATTCTTAACTACTGCTTAGCATTATCCATACTGTTCCTGCCACCGGGAATGCCACTTTGCTTCTGATCATGGTCTGCTTTTTGAAATCCCAACTGTCCTTAAAGGACCACTTAAAGTGTCCTGAGACCTCCAACTTTTGAGCCACTAATTATTGTCTCTCAGAGCTCTTACCATGTTCTGTCTGATATTGTAATTATCCATGTATTTGTCTTATTTTCATTTACCAGATTGTAAATTCTGTGTTTGATACCAAGATCTATATCTTACTCATCTGAGTATATGCTTTGGAGCCAAGCATTGAGCTCTTGGATATAAAGTAACAAGACCTATTTCCTTGTTTGACTCATAAACTGGAATTGAAGATAATTCCAAAGCAGTAGTTCTTCCCACTCCCCATAAAGCAATAGTTCTAAAACAGATTTTGAGCAGTCAGCATTTTTAGAACAATCACAGAGACTATAAAATCCTAGGAACAATCATATTTGTCTGAATGTTTAAATTTAGCCTGGTTATTCAAAATAAATTTTTCCTGTGTTTGGTAATTTACAACAGGCAGAGCTGGGATTTGAGTGAGATGAGATAGGTGCCTAGGGGCACAAATTGAAGGAGGCACTCTCTATTCTGTTAGTTCCCTGCCAGTAGGTGGCTAAGACTCCATCAGGGACTGATCAACATTTTTTTTTCCTTTCCAAACAAACCTATAAGTAGGAAGAAAGTGAATGTGCTCAAACATAGTATTCATTCTTCTACTCACCCACAGTAAAAATGAGTTTATAAAAATGGATTAGTATACTTTTTTTCTCAAAGTGTTTTCCAATTAGAATACTTTGGCCCAATTCCGAGACTATTTCTAAAATATTTATGTCAACAACAATTTTCTTGGTCTTCTTAGAATTATCATCCAGATCACTGTTTATTCATTAAATTTATTGCCTTGATTATATCTTTATTGTCATTTAACACATCTTGAGAGTTCCTTCCCTGTGAGATTTTATATTTTGTATACTAAAAGCATTTTTCTTTACCAACGCTCTACATTTGAAATTTTATGCATTTTTTGCTTGAATAAGGAATATTTATATTATAAATGGGAAAAATTTTTCAAAATATAGGATTCATAAAAATAAAAAAATTCACAAAAAACTAAAAAAAACTACTTTAATTTTAAAAATGCTAATTAACAGTGACAAATGTGGCCAGGCTTGGTGGCTCAACCTGTAATCCCAGCACTTTGGGAGGCCAAGGCGAGCAGATTGTCTGAGCCCACGGGTTTGAGACCAGCCCCGGGCAACTTCGTGAGACCTTATCTCTACCATAAAAAAATAAAAAAATCAGCTGGGCGTGGTATTACACACCTTTAGTTCCAGTTACTTGAAAAGCTGAGGTGGAAGGATTGCCGGAGCCCAGCAGCTCGATGCTAGGTGGCTGTGAGTGTGCCATTGTACTTCGGCCAGGGCAATGGAGTAACTGCAACTTATACACACACACACACACACACACACACACACAAAAGTGACAAATGTTCACCGTCACTGATAATGGGCAAAATTTTAAAATTAAAACAAGATAAGCAAAGATGTAAAAGAATGGCAATATTCAGTATTGGCAAAGGTATAGGAAATGAGTGTTTTTTATTACATTGTTGATGCAGCTGAAAATTCTAACAACCATTCTGGAAAGTTTTTTGTTTTGTTTTGTTTTGTTTTGTTTGAGTCAGGGTCTCAGTCTGTCACCCAGGCTGCAGTGGCACAATCATGGCTCACTGCAGCCTTAACCTCCTGGACTCAGGCAATTCTTCCGCTTCAGCCTCCTGAGTAGCTAGGACTACAGGTACTCACTACCTCACCCAGCTAATTTTTAAATTTTTTGTAGAGACTAGGTCTTGCTGTGTTGCCCAGACTGGTTGAACTCCTGGTCTCAAGCTTCCCAAGTGCTGGGATTATGGGTATAAGCCACTCTGCTCAGCCTAGAGAGCATTTCTGTGTATATATCAAAAGCCTAAGATTGTGTGAGTTCTTTAACTGTACAGTTTTCCTTCGAGAGACTGATTCTGAAGAAATTGGACAAACACGAAATGACATAGGTACAATATGTCTCTAATAAAATGAAATTAAGTGTCCATCAATTGGGGATTCATTGACTTGTGTTATAAACCTATAAAAAAGCTATGGTGCACATGACGATTAATTATTTTTAATTACTTATAATTGAGTATGTGAAAATATGTCCACAATATATTAAGTTAAAAAAAAGCTGGTAACAAAACAGCATGATTTTATCTCATTTTTGTTTAAAAATGTATTTATTGGACAAAAATGTGGAAGCGTATATACCCTTATTTAATAGTTATCTTGGGTGGGGGGTGAGGCAATTTTTAGATTGTTCCTCATAACTTCTGTATTTTCTATTTTTTTTTACAAGTAACAGTTATTATTTTTACAATCCCCAAATAATTTATTTCCATTTTGAAAAAAAAAAAACACCAGATACAATTTTAAAAATTTTATTCTTGGCAATACAATAAAATAATATTTTAGATATAATTACAGAAATATTAGTACATTAAAATATTATAATCTTGTCAGGATATAACAATATAAAATATTCAATATATTTTAAATATATTTCATTTGGTTATAGAGTAAACATTAAATTAAGTTTAGTAGTAGTAAGTTACATTTGGTACATAGAAAATCTTTGTAAGTTAGCCATAAAATTCAATTGTAAGCATTATTTTAATACTTTTATAAATAAGTTACTTAATAATGTTTATCTTGCAGAAAGAAATACCTCTGAGAAATCTGTTATTTTAGCACACTGTGAAATTCCAAAGTGGAAGCCTCAAATTTTAAAGAAACAAATTATTTACATTTTATCTATAATGTTAAATCTTCACAATTTTATAAGCTACTCATAGTTAGCTGGAAAATAATGCACATGGGCTGTAATTTGGTGCCAAAGCACTTGCAAGTAAAGTCTTAAAAGTGACTGAACAACTAACTGTTCATATGGCTTCATTGGAATTTAAGGTTTTAGTATCATTCGTCTTCCTCAGAAGTTAAATACTGGTAAGAGGGCAAGAGAAGATGGAGACCTCGGGACGAACCAAGGCCAGTCGTTTGACATTAGCACCAGTCTAGAGCTTTTACTTAAGAGTAAAAGTAAGTTACCTTAAGATCATCTGTGATTTTGAACTTTAAAAAGAGGCAAGGTAGGAGTGATCATAGCCAGCCATACTTGGTAACTGCCTGTAGAGTTGATTCTTGGGTGTTTGCCTAAAGCAGTTCTTTTCAGTCTACAGAATCATGTGGAGGGCTTGTTTTTTGTTTTGTTAGAGACAGTTTTTCATTGTCACCCAGGCTGGAGTGCAGTGGCACGCTCACTGTAGTCTCCAACTCAGGGCCAAGAGATCTTACTGCCTCAGCCTCACTAGGATTTACAGGTGTGAGCCACCACGCCCAGCTAAGGCTTGTTAAAACAGAATTTTTTCCCCCGCCCCTAGAGTTTCTGCTTCTGTAGGTGTGAAGTGGACTCTAGAAATTGCGTTTGTAACAAGTTTCCAGATTATGTTGATGCTACTCTTCCAGGGACCACACTTTGAAAACTGCTGGTCTATGGAGGGTTTGTGGAGCTCAGCCAGCCCTGTATGCCACTCTAGTACATTTGGGACAACAGGACATTTTTGAAGCAGAAAAGGCTTAATATTAGGTAATTTAAATAAATTAGTCTAATAAAATGCTGCACATCCTACTTTAGATGCGAACATGGCTTGACAGCAATTGCCTGAGCTGTGAAGAATGTAAACCATGACCACAGTCTGTGCTGTCATCTAGGGTCATATTTTCACCTACAAATCAATTGAGATGGAAATAGCCTGAATTTAAATATCAGCACCACTGACTCCACCTTGGTGGATCAAGAAGCATCTTCAGAGCTTTGTCTCATGATGCCTGGCCTCTAAGACTTGTTAAGTCATGCTATCATCAAGAATAAGGGGTTTTTAACCCCTTATTACAAAACAGTAGCTCTTTGTTTTTTTGACATTGTTCATATCTTAACTTCCATGATGGCTAAGAGAAGCTAGAGGTTCTGGGCTTTCCCTGGGCATAGATCTTATTTTTAAGTGTTTACTCAGCTTAAATTATGATGATGAACTATTATATAAGTGAAAAGGAACAAAAAGTGGGGGAGGGAACCAGCTCATTTATATGAGATGCTTGACAGAGCAATAAATTACCTTTCTGAAATATTAGATCTAAAATAAGTTTCTTTTTCTCTTAGCATCTCCATAATTTAGCACAGGGCCTGGGACTTGCTTGGTGCTGAATAAAATGTTTGTTAAGTTGAATTAAGTAACCTTAGGAATGTACCAACACATTGAAAAGCAAGTTTTAAGACATACAACTATCAAATTATACAATTTGTACATTAAGATTTTTAAACAACGGAGTCTGTCAATACGGTTTGTAAGAATACATAACATAAAGAACATGTTTTTACAGAGGAAGAATTTGAGAAGCAACAAAGGAATATAATCTGTAAAACCCAAGTGATGACATATTTAGAGGAAATAAAAAATATTCTGAGCCAGTAAGTGAACACGTATCATAAATTCTTTCATGGATTATTGAATTACTCCATTACATTAAGTATGCAACAACATTTATAGGGACAAAGATGATGTGCACATCTCATAAGTAGTGCCCTTGTTATTTGTATAGGTGTGCTGGTAAAAAAGAAGTTAAAGTTAGACACATTTCATAGTATGTGTGTAAAAAAATCCTACTGAAATCAATTCACAAAGGGGGAAATTTTTATGTATTTTGATTACAAGTAGGCTTTATAGCTGTGGTGAAATGAAATCAATAAACAAAAAATTCTTACAAAAATATAAAAGAAAACCATATAGTATTTCCAGGGCTATTATGGTTCCATACAGGGAACCCCTTTTTGCCCTTAGCCTTGGGTGTGTTTGAAAGAGTCCTGAAAAATCCATGAATCTCAATTCAATTCTGTGTCCCCCGAGACCTTAGGTACCTCAACAGGTCTGGAAGTCCAGGGTTCCACATGTCTCCACTTCCTCTCTACCCAGGGTCTAAAGTTTCAGGAAGGGGTGGCCAGGCAACCTAAGACTGATTTGGCCTCCCTGAGACTCAAAGACAGAAAGAGAAGAGGACAAATGTTGAGAATCCAGTGGACCAAACATTTCCCAACTTCTAGCATTCAAACTTTATACAATTACAGTTGGGATGGTATGTTGGATACAAGTGGAATACGTTTTAAGTGATATTTTGTGACAAGTTGCTGCCCTGCCCTCACAGAACTTTGAAACAGCCCAGATTCAGAGATCAACATCACAGAACCAACTTAAAATAAATGCTTTGTTGTGTGGGGAAACAAATTGAAACTTTGTACTAAACCACCATGGAGTTATATTGTTTGGTTAGAGAAAAATACCTACATAAAAGCATGCTCTGAGTCATTACTTTGTTCTTTAGGATGAAAAAATAGCAGTTCTGCTTTCTTCCATTTCTTCAATGTCTTTTCTTCATGCACACCTGACAGCGACTTATTATTTTTTCTAATTCCCCAGCTTTCACAGTTGATGGAATAGGTTTTCTGAAATAAAAAACAACCCCAAAAGTCTTGTTGGTTTATAGATTAAAAGGAAATCCTTGCTGAGTTTGAGTTTTATTAATGGATATTGTACATGATTTTAAAATTTATTACAGGGATATCTCTTTACAGATATATAGGTTGGCATTTTATAATTTTCGTCATATTTTGGCAGTACTAAAGAAACATAGGCCTTGATGAAAACTTACAAATCATCTTTTTTGTAATAAAACCTTCCCCACCCTTTAAATAATCTACATTATTCATAAATCTTCCAATATAGTAAACTAAGATTAGCAAATCATTTAGTGGTTTTACTCAGTATTTTACTGTAAATGTTCATGTAAATATTAAATATATTTAGTGATGACAAAACATATTTTGTCTTTATTGGTACAGTAGTACAAAATCATGGCTACTCATTGACTCAAGAACATTTGTAAACTGGGAGTGCTAAGCTAAACAGAATTTTCTTGGCATGGGGACACTTTAAAGATGTGAGCAGATCAACACATAGGTAAAGAAGAGCTAAGATAGGCTGCCTTTGATTAATTATGCATTTGAGTCATCAGATTAAGTTGGCCAATGAATAGTTACTTACCTAAACATTCTTTCTGGGCTTAATGAAGCCAACCAGAAACTGTAGGAATTTGAATAGTAGTTGCAGGTTCCTCTTCCATGACATTCTATAAATGGACTGGCTCGGAATTCTTTCAGGCAGGAGCCAGGGGATGCCAGTGCTTGTCCAGCACCTTCAGAACCTGCACTTGTGAACTAGCACCAAAAAAAAAAGGCTGAATAAAAACTGTCCGGTAGGGTTCAGATTTTCAATTTCTATTTTTTTTCAATATAAGACAATATGAAAAGGGGGAAAAGTGCAGAAAACATGAATTAAACCTTCTATACTTCTTTATCTAGATTTGCTAATACTCTAGGTATTTTCCAAGCTGAGGTATAGTCCTTAAAAAGCAAGTAAAAACTGCTCCTTCTGTCTGGAGTGCGCCTTGCTCCAGGTCTGACTCTTGGTCTTCTGGTGTCTGCTTAAATGTAACCTCAGAAAGGTTTTCCTTGACCCCCCATCCTTGTCATAGTCTCTCACCTTATCTTGCCTTATTTCCTTTATAGTACCTGAACACTTACTACTATTATTACCATTATCTTCTTGCTGATTGTCTATTTTTCTTGTTAGGATATAAGAAGGGATGTTGTTTACTGGTATCCTTAGTGCCTACAACAGTTATGGCACATATTCAGTAAATACCTGTCACATTAATGATTGAATGAATGGACAACTATGAGTTAAGAAGGAGGAGTAATATATCATAAATGATGCTACACAGGATAGAAATAACCATATTTGTGCAGCTATCAGAATTGCAGATGGCCAGTCCATAGAATTCCTCATTTAGTATTTACATCCAGGAGATTTTTCTTTAATCTTTCTTTCTTTACTTTCTTTTTTTTTTTTTGAGTTGGAGTCTCACTCTGTCACCCAGACTGGAGGGCAGTGGCCGCTCCCAGCCACCGCAGCCTCGACCCGCTGGGCTCTGGCGATCCTTCCACCTCAGCCTTCTGAGTAGCCGGAATTATAGGCGAGCGCTACCACGCCCAGCTGATTTTTTGATTTATTGTAGAGATGAGGTCTCGCTGCCCAAGTGGGTCTCGAACCCCGGGC